AATATTCAATGCGAAACCCGTAGGGATGCCACTGTTTGAAAAAATACAAATTTGTGTACATCAGAAAATGCGCCTTGAGGCATGGAACATATGTACCAAATATGCCAAAGATGTCTACAAAATTATCTCAGTTATTATTAAAAAACTGATTATTTTTGAAAACTTTGCCACCCTATATCTCAAAAGTTAAGGCGTTTAGGACATACGTCCATAGGACGTTTTTTCCCTAAAATGGGTCTAAGAATTACCTCCCTAAATATTAGCATGTGTTTAAGGAACACCCTGTATGTGCTTAGCCCCAAGGTAGTGAGTTTTGAATCCGATCAACTATGATTGGTTCAGAGGTGTGGGTTATGGGTCATTGTGGAAACGGTAACATATTTGATGTTTTTTTCACTTAGTTGAAGACAAACTATTTTGTTCAAACACACTCTCATCCTCAGAATGGAGGAGACTGTAACTTGAATGCTCAAGCAAACCAAAATCAGTCCTTTCTGCATCTGATGAACCTACTTTTATAAAACTTGAATAAAATATTTTGAGTAATGCATTTCTATTGCTCTTTTCAAATATTCAGTATGAAAACCTGGTATAATTGAAATAGAAATAAATGCATGTTCAGATTCTAATCAGACAAACCAAAAGCTAACAAAACTCTCAAGATGAGAATCATCAACAAAATCGTTGATTCTAAATCGGAAAAATCATCTTCGTATTCCGTCAGCAAGCAAACCTACTCCCTCAATAAAAGCGTTAGTTCAAAATTTCTTCCGACGTCCGTCCCCTCTACGCCCTCAACTTACTGGCCCACCGAGGAGTTCGGTCTTAGAAAAACACGGAGTATCACCGACGTTGTAGAGTGTTCGAGGGGTTTCAAGCCCTCAGACAGGAAAGATCCGCAGAAGAGGGAGTTTTTGGATTCTTTGACGCAGCGTGTTTTCAAAGTTGGACTAGTAAGTACTCTTGTTGACATGTCATAATGATAATCTTATTCTCCGATTGGATTTTTTCAAATCTTGCTTTGTATAAGCACCCGCCAAAAAAATATATTTTTGTGGAAAGTAAAACTGAACGACATTCATGTTTAGACAAGAACGACAGGTGTCGCATACAAAAAATTCGAAACTCTGGGGTTTATATTTGGTATCAGAAGAAGGTCCATAATTTCACATAGATAAGCAGATTTGAAGTGGTTGAATATGTTCAATCGTAGACGTTTAAGCCGGCCGCAAGTTGAGACGCAGGTCGTGAGGTGACGCGTGGTGAGTCACGGTGAGAAAAAACTGCGGTTGGGTGGACCTCCGCAAGTTGAAACGCAGTTTGAGCCTACAGTTCTTAGGTGACGTGTCTCTTGCCTTTCGATTTTCAAATGGATTTGGTTTATGAACTTTCAATTGATATCAGCTCCGAATCTGAGCCAGAAAATGATGAGGTAGTTGAATCGATTATTTTTGCTAGCTTCATATCGCTTTCCTTTGCCACTTCCTCCCATATTGAACTTTTTTAATTTTGTTCGCAAATAGTCCTCATGACTAGTGTCGTACAAAACGCGACGATTTCTAACTGCCTCTATTAATTTTTCCTCCATTTCACTTGACACGCCGTGACTCACTGAAGAAATCTGCGGAAGGAGGACTGCGTGACGCAGGGTCACGGACCGTGAAAACTGCGTCATGTCACCCTGCGTCGGAACTTGTGGGGTTCCATCATTTGTATGGTTCGCAGAAATTTTACGTGACTCACCCTGTCTCACCTTGCGGCCGGCCTTAAGTTTTATTTTTATACATTTTCGGCATTGGTGGAAAATATACAAATTCGCGATCTGAACCAAAAGCTATCTGCACATCAAATACAACGTGTTTTTTTCTCTCTCTTGTATTTTTTTTTGTTGTTATCTTGTTATTTTGATGGTTAATTAATTTATTATTATTATTATCAATTTCAACTCTAACATTTATAAATCAATCAAAACGCAGAACATGTCGAATGTAACACAGAATCTAAAACAAATATGATGAAATTCTATAGTATCACTGATCATTATGGATATTCATAGTAATGTACGAACAGATTTCCAATAGTACTCCAGTGGTTCGATAACCCATTTTGCCCTTCGTAATCGTATTATAATTATTTTCAATTGTTTGTGAAGAACTGTGAAGAACCTTCAGCTATTGTTGATGATTTCCAACCCCCTAGGCTTTTCAACTTGGTTATATGTTAACTTTGACAGGCTTGTATCTGTATGAAATGTGTATATATGTAAATAAATATAAAGATAATTTCTTCAATCAACAGAACATCAATATAACACTAGATCCAGAACTCTTCTTGTGCCTGCTGTGCATAGAACTAACCTATACCAAAAAAGTCACTTATATTTGGGATGCAAAGTTTTTAATCACCTCGATGTCTCTATCCAAACATTAATATTTTTAAATCCAGACTTAAAACATTTATTATTGAGAAGAAATGTTACAGTATTAGTGAATTTATGACATAATACTATATTTTATGAAGATGTTTTCTTGTTGACAATTCAAATGTTATATTTGTGCTGTTGTTTTTGACACTTTTAACCTTTTTCTAATTATGTTCTTGCTGTGTCTTTTTTAACTAAGTCGATGGGTTCTATGAATTTTTTATATTTCTATATAATTATGTATTTTATATTAATAACTTATGACTGTGTTCATATCTTTTAAATTCATTTCTATATTAATTATGACGTTTTTGTCAATTACTGCTGAAATCTATTCATACATTTATGCTTTATTATTATTATTATTATTATTATCTGCTCGAGAGTCCACTAACACTGTAGCAGAACTTCTGGGAAAACAATTCCTACCTAATTCGTGTGGGTTTGGTAATTTTAAAAATTTCGTGATTTTTTCTGGCCTTTTCCAAGTTTATGGATACCAAGACATTGTTTGTATGCCTTACCATTAGTGTTTTGAAAAAAAAGATAGATAACCAGTCTGATGGTTATGATTAACGATTTGAAATCAAGAGTTATAACATACGATTTTTTGAACACACTGTACAAACAATAGGATAACAAAATGATATGTTTTGGACAGCAGAGAAACGAATTCACTGCCTTGGTTAGTTTCATAAACTGTTAGAGTAACTCTCCTAGTTGAACAAATGACTATTATCCTAGTTTCTGTTTAATAATTTCGAAATTCCTACTTTCATTGGTTGAAAGTACTTGGAATTTTGAAACCTGATAACGAAGAATTTGCAGTGAAAAATTATGCGCAAGAGTACAGATATCAGGTGAAATTAATATCAGCATATGCTTGTAAAAATGATACATGATTGACAATCTACAAAAAAATATATTGAAGTACTACATATTTCTCTCATATGTCAACACATTTCTTTCATATTCTGCTTTCTCTTTCATCAGCTTCCTTATTCTTTTTTGGACTGTTCCTTTTCTCTTTTCTATCAACTCCCCTCTGTTCTCCTTCATTTTCTCATTTGTGATTTTCCTAATGTTTTACTATATTACTATAATTAGTTTGGTATATTGAATGCTAGCGACCCGACTCGGCTCCGTACGGGTGCAATGCTGATACTAAATATGAATTCACTCACCGGAAAAAATTTGAGGTCATGGAGAAACAGTGATCATGGATTTTCATCAAGTTTTGGCGAATTCTTTCTTATATAGATCTATTATTTTCTTACAGGATGAAAATGCACCCCCAAAACCGATCAATTTGGAAAAAATATTCACACCAGCAGATGGAGATCAGATCAAACCGAATAAAGGCAGTAAGTTTTTATATTGAATCACCACTGAATAGTTTCGTCCTATTTTTTGTAGTTACTTAAGTGTATTCGGATAAATTACTTGCTCTTGGGGCATTCTGCACAAATCCACCCGAAAGTCCAACTTTAACAACCCGAAGGCAGTTTTTAACCCTTACTTATGCTGCTTCCATTAGAGCAAACCCTAAAAACCCAGTATACCCTAATGTGATTGCCCATAGATTTTCGTCAACATATGCTAAGAAGAAAAGAGCTGACCTTCCTTTTTACTACGGACAAAATAAGTATCTACATAATTTGAACCTCCATCAAACATAAACCTTTTCCGACCCGAATATCCCTAACCCCACTCCATGGACTACCCCAAAAATTCTCATTGATACAAACCTTAACCAGTTTAAAAAGAGAGACATTAACTACGAAGTCATCAAATGTAATTTATATGAAATGATTCAAACGAAATACAAGAAGTTTGACACAATCTACACGGACGGCGTAAGAGCCGCTTTTACCAGTCTCCAAAATCAAGTTCATCATTCAAACTCCCGCTAGCAAAGCTGTGTTCACTGGGGAACTTTACACCATATGGAAAGCACTGCAGAACATAGAGAAGAACAACTCGATGAAATTTTTGATTATGTCAGCCTCTTCAAGTGCCCTGGAAGCAATCAACCAATTACACTCCAACCATACCATAATTCGTTATATAAAAGAACTTATCAATATACGCTATGGAAAAGGGCAGTCATGGAATTCATATGGGTCCCTTCTCACGTAGGTGTAAAAGGAAACGAAACACCTGACAGATTAGCTAAAGAAGCCACTATTAGAAAACTATGTTGTCCATACATATATGAAATCGTACTATAAGAAAATCCTCACTAAATTATGGCAAGATCAGTGAAATGGGTCTTGCAGTTTTCAAAGTAAAAACAAGGGTACTTCCATGGATACATCTCCCGAAAAGTAGGAAAACCCAGGTCATGATATCTCGCCTTTGAATAGGCCACACTTGCCTCACCAATGGGATACCTCATTGCCGGCGACACCAGCCCTATGTGTGAAGCATGCGACTCTCCCGTAACTGTAGACCATATCTTAACAAAGTGTGTGCTATATTCCAATGAAAGACTAACTCATGGCATCCCGCCTTCAATTAACAACGCATTAGGACCTAAGGGTAATATTGAAAATATTGTAAAGTTTTCAGAAAATGCCAACTTGTTCAACTTTATAATACCACTGCAACTGATCCATTGTTAGTCGCTAATAACCCTGGAGGTTGATGCGACTTTAATTAAAGTAAATTAGATAAATTACTTCCAACTTCAACCCGTTTTTCAACATTGACTTTCCATGACTAAGTTGGCAACGTATTTGGGCAATTTTTTGTAGTTGAATGGAATATTCCAAAAAAAAAATCAGAGAGCACCAAGTTTCATCAAACAATTTGCTTCCAACAACGGTTACAACGTGGATATTATCGAAATTCTACCAAAAACCTACCACCAGTTTACTCCAATTTCAAGAAATGATAATAAGCGTAACAGGACATAGGACATACTTTTGTACAAAGTACCAATAACATTGCTCGTTAAAACAAAGAATGACTTCGTCGTAGCTTAGAAAATAAATAATAATTCAAGCAAATTCATCAAAAACAATAGAGATAAAATTTTAAACATTCATTTGATGATCGATACATAATTGTATAGTAATATAGAACATAGCATGTAATGAAATTGAAAAAAAAAGCTTGCTTCATTGAATGTAGACTCTGATATGGAAATTGGTTATTAATAGATGAAATTATTAGTTATTGAGTAGGTAGAAAAAACCGTAATTTGAATATATCGATGTATAGAGATGTCCAAATTGAACACTTTTAAAAGAAAACTCCTGTTTTCAAACTGGATATAGATGAAAAATGATGACTGTGTCTGAGGGTCAAGTTTTATGACAAACTTTATGGTGGAAACCTCATATCGATATCTATCATCGTTTCTGAGTAACAGTATGTTTTTCGAAAATGTGCATTTTCGAAAAGTTGCTGTAACTTTTTTCCTGTCAATATTTCTTTCTATGAAAACATTTCCGAACCACCTTTTTACGTAGAATTTAATGTTGTGAAAAACCTATTTTTCAAATGAGATATCAATAGTTATGGATGGAAACTAGGTTTTTAATGAAACACCCTGTATATTCCTGCATATTCCAGTAGAGCTCTAAATTACTTTTCCAGAAATGTAACACACTTTAAAATACAGAGCATTTAGGTTTTTTCATGTAGGCTTTGAAATGTATACTTTGATTAAGTAGGCTTTGGACGACGCGGCGATAAAGCAGAAAAAAATTGTTCAGTAGTAGCTACCAAATGTTGAGAACGCTTGTCACAGCATTAATTAAAACGCATAGTGTCAATTAAATTGACAAAAATTTGTACTATATTCACTACTGATAAATGAAACTTCAACAATAATAATAATATATTTAATATATTTTTTCAGAGAAGTTTGAAATTTCTACCAGTTTCTCCTACTCACAGGCGACACCTTTTCGGAACGTGTTTTACCTAACTAATTAGTTCAATAGGAGTGAGAGAAGCAAAACTTTGTATCACTGCCGCTTCCAATTCGTATCTAGAAACGGTCGGCAATTTAAAAATAAGATCTTTCGAACTTCCTCAGAGATACAAGTCCATAGGTGTTAGGACCATTGACCTGGTCGGCCAACGGTTGGGTCCTTGATTGGTTATCCAATTATTACCAAAATTTGCATCCAAAAAGTTGGTTACAATTGCACTGTTGTTAGTCAAAGAGATGTGAGATTGCCATTATAAATGAACGGGATGATAATTGTACCCCTGAAAACACCTGCCCAAACATTTAATCCAAATCTCCCTTGACTTCTCTGCTCCACAGTGAAATGAGGATTTTGTTGTGCCGAAGTATAAGAATTGTAGCGGTTGAAAATCCCGGTACTGCTCACATAATACAATTTAATGAAAAATTACGCAAAGGTCAGAACTTTCCAGGAACCACTGGCAAGCCATGCATCTTTCAAAATCTCCTGATCTGAGTTGATGAATTCTTCTGGTCCTGCATGGCTTGAATTTGTATTTTTTCAAAATCCGCTTAACGTTACTCCTTGGTAGGCCTGTTAATACTTTCAAATTACGCGTTAACGTTTTCGAATTATTTCAACAACTGCAAAGACTATTTTTTCCAACTCCTTATCACTACTTGATTCATATATTTTTGGCCTTTTCTTTTAAAATTGACCACCATGAATTAGATTTTCACTAGTTCGGACTTCCATTGTCTACTATATAAAATGATTTGAAATCCCTGAAACAAGTAAAAAAGAATAATTAAAAAAGAATAGTTGAAAATAACAATTATATTAGGCAACAATAAACCTGAAATGATCAACTCATTGTGGATTTCCTTCTCCATTGTGAAAGTGATGGAAGGTCTCACGCTGTTGATGTGTTTCAGAAAGGCGTCTAGTTCAGTATTCCCATGGTTCCATATTATGAAGGTTTCTTTAACATATCTCAACCAGACTCGAGGTTTCTTGTGGGCTTCTTCAATGTGAAACAGATTATCATATCTCATTTTTCATAATTCTCGTACTTCATTGCGAATGTGTTTGAAAATTGAACAAAAATTACTAGTTGAAGAACGTCTTTACTGCTTGACTCAAAATTTGACAGCTGCCATTAAAGATTTGGATTCTATTTTATCGCCACATCGTCCAAAGCCCAATTGATCAAAGTGTGCGTGTCAAAGTCTACATGAAAAAACCTTAAAGCTCTGTATTTCAAAGATGACTCTAGCAAAACATCAAGTGTGCTACATTTTTGATAAGGTAATATTAAGCTATATGGGATTATGCAGGAATATACAAAGTGTCTCATTAAAAACAATAGTTTTCCATCAATAATAATAATAATAATAATAATATTTGAAAAAATAAGTTTTTTACACCACTGGAAATGCACGATAGAGCGCAGGATGGGCTCAAATTAACAGAAACATGGTGTGAGGAACACTCACTGTCAATCAATCCCAAGAAGACTGACATGGTTCTTCTCACCAAGAAAAGACGTTTATCGGGCTTAAAATCTCCCGAAATCTTCAAAAGTGAACTGAACTTCTCTGAAGAGGTCAAATACCTTGGTACTATCCACGACAGGAAGCTAACATGGAACTCTCATCTATAGAGTAGAGCAAAAAGAGCATACGTGGCCATACGGGGTGACCGTGTTGTCACCTGGATCTACACTGCAATAATAAGACCTATGTTAACGTACGGAGCCATTGCATGGGGACCGAAAGTTCTACATGCAACGGCCATCCAAAAATTATATCAAATACAGCAATTGTCTTGTTTTAACATCACAGGAGCCATAAGAACAACACCAACCGCGGCAATGGAATTAATCACTGATATGACCCCTCTGGATCTGTACGTTAAGGAGGTTGAGTTAATTGCCATGTTACGATTGCGAACGGCTGGGGAAAACCTCGAAGTAGGAATGGGTCGATTGAGACTGAGCCCATGGCGTGAAGCGGTTACTGCGCAACCTCTGCTGCAGGCAGTCAGTGATGCAATCGAACCCAGGTTTGTGTTCAATAAACCCTACAAAATACAAATAAAACAGAACACAGAGTCAAATGTAATACGGATTTATACAGACGGCTCAAAAACCAAAGAAGGCTCAGATGTGTAGTTTACTCCAGATAATAGTGGAGACCAAGCGGGGATTTTGGTATTTACTAAAGCGCGGCAGATTAATATACAGGGGGATACCTTGTACCCGGTTAAGTACCTCCACCAAATATGAGCCACATATATAAGGCCGCCTGTGAGGGATAAAGGATCAGATTAGTAAAAAAAATTGATCATCAGAAATTCTCTAGTGTGTCAGATTAAGGTAGGGTGAGTTAATTACCTGCTAAAAAGTGTATATTCCAGTAATCTGACAATTTAAGGGTGACGTAAAGAAAAAGGAGGTCAGCAAAGTTGTAAAAAAATATCGTCATTTCGACATTCTCCAACGTAGCTATTTTTTTATTTTGAAGGAAATAATTCAAGGATAACGAAAAATATATAATCTGGCGATTTCCGCAAGCCGAAATAACAAAAATTCGTCGATAAAGTTTTCTTACAGCTGTGTGATACCTATATTTCCCTCTCCGAGTTTCTATTACTCTATTCTCTATTCACTTTTTCTCTATCTATTACTCTCTCACTCCGTCCCCACTCTGAATTCTGCTGCAATGACGCCATCAGAGCTGATCACAGAGACTCGTTCGTGATGAAGATGATGATTAATTAATGAATTAATTGATGGAGTTAGCCGTTACTACGTTGTAGGAAATCATAATGAAGAAAAGAGAAATTAAACTTTCTATATTTTTTACCACTTTTATTTTTAACTAACGTGACTGCAGTTTCGTCCTATAAGGATATTTTCAACTTATACAATATATAATATCAAATATCATACAATATTTGAAAATGTCCTTATAGGATGAAACTGCAGTTACGTTAGTTACAAATAAAAGTGGTAAAAACCATAGAAAGTTTCACTTCTCTTTTCTTCAATAATTAATCGATTGATTATAAAAAATAGAATTTTTTGAGCATTTTTTACAAATTGTTTTCTTATAAATACAAGTATTCTTCTTAAAAAACATAAACTGATTTATTTGCATGCTATTTCCTGAGCTTTTCAATTAATTGAGTTCAATGAATTAAAAAAATTTAAAAAAATATTGTTTTTGTCAGATTAAGCGAATCCCTCTAGATAATCGTCAGATTATGAGACATCACGTCTAAAACATAAAGGTGAACCACATCTCAATCTGACGCACTTGAGTATTTCAAAATGGTGAATTTTTTTGCACATTATAATAATGGCCGCGAGTTTGCGTTAGATCGAATTCGTCAGATTATTCAATGGGAGCTTTTTTTTGTTGCACTTAACACTACTTTAGAAAATCTGACGCGCTCGATTAATTTTGTTTTCTTTTCACTTTTAACCCTTACGTACAACCACCCACATCATGCAAACGATCAGATTAACATACCAACATTATTGAAAATACGTAGGACATTGATGCTCTCAATATCTGACGCGCTCGAGTATGTCCATGCAACAGTATTTTTTTACATATTTAAAAATCTTCCGCCACCGATGAAAAGGTATATATTATATAACATTTTTTTCTTCTTATCATCTAAGCTTTGCAACCTACTATGTCTCAATGACGCTCGAGTAAATCCCCATTTTGCATTTGTGGGCTCCCATGCTAAGATCACTAAGCCTAAGGATTAAATGGGAAATGGGAAAAAATACCAGCGTGGTTCGAACAGAACTGGCTGGTATCTCAATTGCCACAAAAAATACGTAGGAAAGGAACTTCCTGTAAAAAAGTAACAATCTGCACAGATGGTAGACAAGCCCTATTAGCCTTGAACAAACAATGTGTTACCTCAAAGCTAGTACTAGCCTTGAGGTAACACATACTGCCACCAAGATTTAGCCAAAGCCTCCTTTAGATGGGTTAAAAAGCACGATAGACGTAAAGGTAATCGCATTGCTAACTCTTCAGCCAAGGAAGCGGCTGGACCATGAATGGACTGATGACTGATGGACTGATGACTTCGACAATTGCCAAACTAGTCACACCCATGCTCAATTCTTAAAGAGATGGGATGGAATTGAAGGATGCAGTTTGCCAGGATCACCCTGGGCGACCCTGAGAAGGTGGCGCCGAAGAAATATCTGGCGATGACCAGGAAAAACCTACGCTTAACAGTAGGATTTCTGAGTGGCCACTGTCAACTAAGGAAACACCTCCATAATATGGGATTAGTGGACATACCTTTATGAAGGATGTGTGAACAGGAAGATGAGTCTGTTAGGCATGTCCTATGCGAGTGTCCGGAATAATCCTCAATAAGAGAGTGTTTGTTCGGCGAGTCTTGGCCTACACCTGCCTATATGGAGAAAATGTCTCCTAGTGACCTGTCCAAAAAGGATAGGATGGACAATGATCTAGGAGGCGACTCCTTGGGAGGATGTTCAATGGATCACATGTGACCTAACTGCTGTGGGCCTACACTCACCCTCCCTACTCTACAGATAATGTCTATTGTCGCTTGTAGTTAAGCATCTTCACTTTTTATGAGTTACCCCAATTTATTTGCAACACATCACTCTTAATAACATTGTTGCAAAACTTCTGTGAATAAATTACTATACTATGTAATAATTATTTCAGGAAAGATGTTCGCATCTTCTGCATTTTATGACAAAGGCTTCCACCCGACTGTCGAGGACCAAGTAGAGCTGGCTCACAGAATTTCTAGTTCTCTGAGTGACATCAGCAATAAGAGCAGTAAAGGACAGTCTATGTACGTGAAGAGGAAGAAGAGGTCTGTCAAATGGGTGCATGAAGGCGAAGGTTAGTCAGTACTTTTTTGCTAAAATTGTCAAAAAGTTGTTACTTCTGTACGAGAATTTTATCAGATGTTGGTTGCAAAAGTAACAAACAAATCTTATAGAAACCACAGTATCATCACGAAAATAAAAACGGACAACGGATAATAATAAAAGGTTGATGATAATATTTATTTTTCTTTTGACATGAAATGTATAAGAATAATCAATCAGAAATAAAATAAAGCACATACAAAACAAAACAAAAATACCACAAAAACAAGTTGTGACAATAGAAGTACATGAAAATACATTTATTAAGAACAAATTAAGTTTTTTTAAAGTAGAATAATGCCTTTCTTGCTCCAACACTTTCGAGAAGTTGGTTATATATCCTTGATCCAATACAATTATCATAATTTAATGTAATATTTAGTTTCGCCTCCTATATAACATGAAGGCCATTTTTTTGCCTTGTATTCAATGTATGATTATTGGAATATTCTTGCCACAGGTACAATTTTATAAGATGGTAAAATAGTTCTACATGAATTATCGTAATTCTTTGCAATAACTCCTTGAAAAACAATTTTCCAAAGCCAGGAAGGAAAAAGCTATCCTTAAAACTCAACACGTACTCAATAAATACTCAGAAGTTTCATGATAACTAAAATTTTTGAATAGAACCAGGATGTGTCACTCCAAGTTGATTTTCTGGAAAAGGCATCACCCACTATTCCCACAGTAGAATCAACAATGCCGGAAATTACTAATGAAGAAAAGAGAAATGAAACTTTCTATGTTTTTTACCACTTTTATTTGTAACTAACGCTACTGCAGTTTCATCCTGTACGGACATTTTCAAACTTATACAATAAACTAGCAATGATTCATTACATTCGCCACTATACAGGGTGAAACTGAATGAGTGTAAAACATTTAAGGAGGTGATTCCTCATCGAAAAAAAGATAGGATCTTTCAGATAAAGAAACTTCATTGGAGCATCCCTTGTCAAGATACAGCCCCTTAAAGGCGGTACATAAAATTTGTATAACAATTTTTTTCACAAGCACTGAAAAAGTTACAATATTGAAATTAACGTGATGTTTTGTACTACTAAAAAGACAGCCAGTAATTTATTTGGTTTACCCCATGGTTGTAAGGGAAAACGCAACCCATAAAATTTATTTCCAGTGTAACTTTTTGTCTTATTATTTGTTTACCATTTAAAAATTTATTTCCGATAGTCTTTTTCATTCTAAAAATGTCTCTTGGGTTTTTTGCCCAAAATAAACCAGTTCGCAGCAAAAAATTATTTTACGAATAACTACAGAGATACATCGTCATAAATGCGAAAATATCAAATCAAATCCAATCAAAATATGCTTTATTACCCAAGATATAAACATCTTATTGGCAAAGTCTAGTAAAGTAAAACATGTATAAGGGACAATTAACAAATATAAACTATAAAATAATGCTTAAACACCGGAGCAGAGTATATGGACAGAACAATATTAAGTCCAGCTGAACAGCTACAAATATAAGTACATGAATTTATGAATATTAAGTAAACGTAAATATATAATTCTACATAATGAACATTGATAGCCATTTTGTGTTGGTTTCAATAACTTGTTTACACAAAGCTACATGTCAATTATTCGATAGAGCCTTGGTAGAATTCGTCCACACTATAATAGGGCCTCCCAACAAGGTATTCTTTCACTTTCTTTCTGAATTTCTTTCCATTATATATTCGCCTTAAATTAATGGGAAGGTGGTTAAATAACTTCTTGCTATTGAAAATAATAGAATTTTGTGTAAGGGCTAGAGAAGGTGTGGGAAGGGAAACGGAGTAAGACTGACGTGTACTATAAGTTGCGGTGTTCCTAAATTGATTTTTATATTTTTTGTGGATAAGACACACTGTTTCCAAAATAAAAAGACATACGAAACTAATCTATCTAGTAGGTCGCTATTAGCGATAGTGACAATTGAACTGGTATGACGCTGTCAGTTTGTGAATTTTCGAAATTGAATTAATACTAATTGTGTGTTGTTGTTCTGTTCTCAATTCGTTACTTTAATAATTCACTTGTTATTAAAATTGCATACACAAATGAGGAAATGGCTGATATGCATTACGTTTACGGTCTGTCGCAGGGGAATAATGGGTTAGAAGCTTCTAGATGATATGCTGAAATGTATCCTCAACGGCAGCATCCTTCACATAGAATATTTGCTCGACTTCATCAACGATTACAAGAATATGGTTCATTCGACAAAAGAACGCAGGATTGTGGTCGCCATCGAGAAGTACGAACACCACAGCTTGAGGAAGCAGTACTTAATTTGGTTGAAGAACAACCTACTACCAGTACTAAAAAGATTGCTTTCCAGCTAAATGTTGATCGTATGACGGTATTTAGAATTTTAAAGGAACAACTCTTATACCCTTACCATCTGCAACGAGTACAGGCACTGTTAACGCGAGACTTTCCAAACCGTCTTGAATTTTGCAATTGGATGCTGGAAATGATTAGAAGAAATTGTGACTTTCTGAAGACGATAGAATTCACAGATGAATGTAGTTTTTCTCAGAACAAGATTATTAATTTTCATAATTACCACATATGGGCTGATGAAAACCCTCACGCTATTGTCGAAACTAACCATCAAGAACAGTTTTCTTTTAACGTGTGGCTCGGATGATTCAATTGGGCCTCATTTTCTACCTCCTCGATTAAATGGTGAGGCATACGTTCAATTTCTAAAAGAAGTGCATCCAGTACTACTGGAGGAAGTAAGTTTTTCATGCATGATGGGGCTCTCGCCCATTTTAGTCAAGTAGCACGTCAGCATTTAACTGAAACATATGCAAATCAGTGGATAGGTCGAGGAGGACCACAGAACTGGCCCGCTTGATCCCCGGATCTCAATTCTATCGATTTCTCTATTTGGGGCCATTTACAGCATTTGTAATGTAGAGGACTTAAGAAACCGCATCATCGATGCGTGCAGGGTAATCAGAGAGACTCCAGGAATATTTGAGCGAATACGTGGCTCAATGCGCCGACGTCTAGACACATGCGTAATGTCTGAAGGTAGACATATTGAACATTTACTATGATTTCTACATGTTGTGTGTTTTGTTATTAATAATTTATTTTTGTTTATTACCCTTTCATCGTTTAATGCAAGTACTAACTACAAAATAACAATAAATCCAGTTCGCATTTATGACGATGTATCTCTGTAGTTGTTCGTAAAATAATTTTTTGCTGCGAACTGGTTTATTTTGGGCAAAAAACCCAAGAGACATTTCTTGTTTAGAATGAAACAGGCTATCGGAAATACATTTTTAAATGGTAAACAAACAATAATACAAAAAGTTACATTGGAAATAAATTTCAGGGGTTGCGTTTTCCACCCCTTACAACCATGGGGTAAACCAAATACATTACTGGCTAGGTGTCTTTTTGATAGTACAAAACGTCAGGTTAATTTCAATATTGTAACTTTTTCAGTGCTTGTGAAAAAAAATGTTATACAAATTTCATGTACCCCCTTCAAGGGGATATATCTTAACAAGGAATGCTCCAATGAAGTTTCTTTATATGAAAGATCCAATTTTTTTTCGATAAGGAATCACCTCCTTGAATGTTTTACACTTATTCAGTTACTTATTTAGTTACCCTGTATACCACCCCTGTAGGTACTAATAGACATGGGGAAGGACCTTTCAGCTAGGTTTTCTGAAAACATTGAACTCAAATTTATTCTGATTGTGTGTAATGGCCAGGTCTAAAAAATTTATCTGTTACTCTATCTCTGTTTCGAGTGTGAACTGAATGTTGCTATTGAGATTGTTCATGAATGTTATAAGTTGGTTCAGCTGCAGGATGAATCAGTTTGGACTATCAATTAGCTCATGGAAAAATCTGTCTATTTTTTTGAAAGTAGCAATGCATTCATGGTTCAGCCTGACATCACTGATAAGACCTTAGCGAGTCGAAGCAGCAATATTGGATCACGAATGCTTCATTCTTGGGCTACGTTGCGTAAAGAGAGTATGATAATTCCATCAGCTTTTTATGATTCATCTCAACACTTTCGGCACCACCTTGTATAAATATATACAAAATGGAGTCCAATGCCTTTTCCTAATCAAAGCCAACTCACGCAAGTGTGCATTTGAAGTGCAGTCCCAATAATTCAGGCAGGCGGAAGTAAAAAAAGAAATGGATTCTGGCTTCACGCCCATCCATTTGAGATTGTGCAACATAGAATTAATAGCACTATAATTATCTTCAGATAATGTCTAGGTGTTGTACTGACAGCTGTACGTTTCAAATTCAATTATAAAACCTCCTAAATTACCCAGGCTCTTTTTCTTGGTCCTGCTTGACAATCTTTAAAGGTTAGTTAGACTGTGTGTTTTCTTTTTTGTTGTCAGTTCTTGTCTTTCAGATGTGACATTGAGATGGGATTATTTTTTGCGGCAGAAACATAAATATAATTTAAATCACTCATTGATGGAATAATCTACGGAAAAATTGTGTTTGGTTCACTGAAAACAGGAAAAAGTAATGACAAAGGTCATCGACAATTGACCTTTTTGTATTGTAGGCTGCTACGTCAGAAGTGTTCTATTTTCGATTGGTATCAAGTTCTCACTGTTAAAAATCTTGGTCAGCAACTCAGTTTTAGAATAAGATGTAGCTACAATAAGGAAAAATCATCAAGCACAGATCTTGTAGAAAACCCAGCGATTAACAAAGACAGCGAATTAATAGTTAGTCTTGTGATTGACGATTTGTTGGATATTTATCAGTCTGTTGGGAAATTGTTACGGAATTCACAAGCTATCATTCAGCTTGCAGTCTTTGTATGTACGAGGTCTGTTGAAAAAATAATAACAATTTTCATTTTTCTCAAAAACTATTCATTTATCCATCAATTTATATTTTGTGCCCTTCAAGGTAGTCCCTCTCAGATATAATGAATAACTTGTTCCAGCGATTTTTCCAAACCTCGAAACAGTGCTATATGCACTTTTTGGTATATCGTTGAGCTCTCTCAGTGATTCAATTTTCATCTCCTCAATTGTCGCAAAACGTCATCCTTTCATGGGTCTCTTCGATCTTGGCAACAGAAAAAAGTCGCAGGAGGGCAAATCTGATGAATACAGTGGTTAAGGCATGATCACGCCGTGGTAATCGAAGGAAATAGTGAGCAAAACCTTGACATTTGATCCAAAATGGCGTGCTTTTTTGGTCTTGGCTCTCCTGAGCTCTTCCATTGGGACGATTGGACATTGGGTTCGATGTCATAACCATATACAGTGTGACCCATTTTTAATGGAAACACCCCCCTAAAATTTAAAGTTGTAAACCGATTTTAATAATTTTTTTTTAAATGTCAAGTACTAAAAGGCTTACTTTGGAACAAAATTTGAAATGTTTATTAAAGTTTCAGGGCATACTACGATATTTTTTCTTAGTCGAAAATCGGGATTTTTTATTAGCGATTTTTTTATTGAAAAATTCACTACGCCACTGGATTCAGAGTGCCTCTAAACAGGTGTGACCAAAATTTCATGAAAAAATATTCATTATTAACAAAGTTATGACAACTCAAAAATTCGAAAACCCACACAGCTAACAGCCGCCGGATAAAAAAAACAAATAGCGTAAATATTTTTAATGAAAATAACGGAGTTACATTCACACAATTCAACTTACATTGTGAATTTGAATACAAGTTCCCTCAAATATTTTCTATAGATAGGACGATTCGGAAAACGTTCATTGAAAATCCTTTCGGTCTCTTGAAAGTTACGCGTCGCACCGTAAATAAAAATCGCTTCAATTTTTCCTTCCAATGGACGAGAATTGACCATTTCAGAGATTGCTGACGTGGTACCTTTCTACTAGTTGAACCGAAAACTAAATGAGAATATTCTAACTGAACAATGATGTTCAGTGTCGTACTGACATTTTTTGTCGTTTCTATAAACAAAAAATAACTTAACAAACCTTATCGAGTTGTTGGAATTGCCATAAAGGAATATTTCTAAAAATATCGATGTTAATGTGTTTGTCTTCAGGGAATTTTTAAATGTTCCACCATTTTGTAGTAGGTGAAGATATTGACTTCATACTCTAGGGTTGTGAAGTATTCGTCAGGAGCTTCAAAATGATATGTCACAAGACCCCCCTTTTCATTTAATTTTTTTCCCAGTCGCCATCTTGAAAGTTTCATCTGTCAATTTTACTTCAAAATAAAGTATTCATGCATTAATTCCATTATCCTTAATTTCATTTTTTTTAGTTGACCTGTTCAAAAAGTAAAAGAGGGGGACATTAAAGAAATTAACTGTAGGGGAGTTTTTCAATTCTAATTGATCATTCATTAAATTACCGGAATTCCTGAATTTATTGATTTTTGAACATTCCAGAAGATTGACTTTCAAACTTTTCTCTGAAAGCACAATAATGAATATGATTTAATACATCATATTCATTATTGTGCTCATATTCTTAGGTTGAAAGGTGATTTGCAAATGTGGAATTGGTCTTTTTATTCACAAAACTACGTCTATGCTCTTTAATTCTTTGGGAAAATGTTCTTCCTGTTTGGCCAATATACAGCTTTGGGCAAGAGCCACAAGTCACCTTATATACTCCTGATCTGTAAAATCGTTTAGTGAAAATCTCACATCAAGTATCATCAAGTATCGACCAATTCCATCATATACTTCTAACTTGTATGCCTCTCACCAACAAACTAAACATGATAAACAGCTAAACTGTGAACATATGTTCGAGACGAGTGTACCTACATAAAAAATGGAAAAATCGCTCATGAAATGTATGTAGCCCGCGAAATTTGAATATTCACATTATTTTTTGAACTGACCTCGTATGTTAGCAGGTATTTTAGTTCGGATCAAATCTTCCAACTGAATTTTGAAGCACTTACCCTCAACCGATTGAGCTGAAATGTTGCATAAACGTTTAATTTGGATGATAATATATGATTAATCATTCTATAAGCAACATGTGGACCGGCCAAAATGGCCAACTAATTTTTTGAGCGCCTCTTCGACAAGAGTATCAAATGGAACAGTTTTCTGGACAGAATACGTGGAATGACGTGGCGTGACCATATGGCGGACTGGTTTTTGTATGCACCACAATGATACGGGTATTAAATGAAAGGGTTCATTGGAAAGTAAAATGACATTACACTGAATCCAGTACAGTAGACTTACAAAGTTGGTGGATCATGTTTTCTATGCACCTCCAAGATATGGATATCAAATGGAAGTATACGAGGGACGAAACTATATAACTGAATATTTGGAATAACGATCCGGATATAATAATGTCAGGTCAGACAATTCCGCTTTCTGGTTCGATAAGTTTGTTGGGGGTTAAAATGGACACCAATATGTCGCTGGAATTGCAAAGGCTGCTTCTCAAAAGCTTGGAACACTGTTCCGAACCAGAAAACTGTACACACCTCAGCAACTTTTAATACTTTACAAAGCTCAGGTCAGCCCTTCTTTGGAGTATTGTTCTCATGTATGGAGCTCTGCCCCCAAACATATCCAGAAGTTGCTGGATTCCATTTAGAAAAGAGCCATCCGCCTGATTGGAGACGCGAACATCACGGGCAACCTTGATAGCCTGGAACATCGAAGAAAGGTTGGAGATTTGTCTTGCTTCTATAGATACTTTCACGCAAGGTGTCCAAGTGACTTGGCATATTTGATTCCACTAAGAGCGGTACATATCAGAAATACGCGACGCGATGAGGGTTGTATTATGAGATAATCTGGAACTTTTTTTCAGGTAAAGGTGGAGTGAACGGAACTGAATTGATTTCAAATGGCGGCGATAGGCCGAAAGACCCTCTCAAACTTGTTATGAACCCTCATGGACAAGTCCAGGACTTATACTCATTGAAGAAACAAGGATACAACGTTGAACCTGCACTTCTATCGCCGGACGTGTGTCTTGAAATTGTGAAGGGACTCAATTCGCCCAAAGGAAAAGGTAAACATGAGAAACTGTTCTATTTTCTCGATTTCATTGAATTTCTTGGAGACGCCACAGGATACCCCAATGCTTGTTACTTGGTCCATTCCTCTTTTCAATGTACCTATCTGATTTTGGGAATTCTGTATTTCATCAATTGATTTGAAATCCATGAAAAAATCCTTAAAATAATTAAAAAGATTAACCGAAAAATATCAATTTTATTGAACGAAAAACTGAAATTACAAAGAAATAACATATAAGCAACAACCAAAAAATAAAAAAATTTAAATATTAATACAAGCTGAAAATTAAAAAAAATAAAAAATATCAACAAGAAATTAAAATTAAAAATTAAAAGAATCCAAACCAAGTTATGTCACGACGTTTCGATTGTTAGTATGCACAATCGTCTTCGGGTGATAATTTTTGGTTGTTGCTTACATGTAATTTCTTTGTAATTTCAGTTTTTTGTTCAATAAAATTGTTATTTTTCGGTTATTCATTTTAATTTTTTACAGATTCTTTCAGGGATTTCGAATCAATTTATTAGACAATGGAAGTCCGAACTGATGAAATACACCACGAAACATTGTCAACCACCTTCAAACAAATTTGGGAATTCTGTTGATAACTTTTCCATACATCAATATGCAGATGATACTCAGTTGCATGTAAGTTCTCTAAATGAATTCATATTGTAGAAAATTGATGGTTTAATGATGATTTTAAAAAGTTATTTGACATCTCTTCCTAACAAAATCTTAAGTTGAATAACGCTTCCTAATATAATGTAATTTTTTTCAGTTCAAAAAGTAAACAGGAACTTGCAATAAGATAACCCGATAATAATCTAGGGGGTGAAGTACTGCCTATTGTCAGGGAATGCAAAAACTGAGATTCACAAATCAACAAGACTCTTATGCAAAAATATTTGAAATTGACAATTTACGATTCCTTGATATTTTCAAAAGTATCGTACTTGCTATCTTGTTCCACATTTCACAGACCTCTCGCCAACCGACTATCATCTTTTCAAGCACTCCGATAACTTTCTCACTGGTAGAATCTTCAAGAATCAGTAACAGACGAAAACGGCCTTCGTCGACTTCGTCGAATCCCAAGCACACGATTTTTATGCTGACGGAATTAATTGACTTGCGTTACGTTGGCTAAATTGCACTGTTGAGGTGCTGCTTATTTCGATTGAATTGAATAAAATAAAAACAGACAAAAGTTTTGAATTAACCTAATACTCATAATCTCCTGCTAGGAGCTTTTCATAGTTTTGTCCTAAGTGAATTTTAAGAATAACTTTGGCATGCCTATCAATATTGTGTTTTTTTGTGGATAATTGAAAATATCACATTTTACAAGAGGTTAAAAGTGAGGTGTACCAATTCGACTAAAGATTAAGGAAACGCATTCCTAGTGAAGTTATTAGTGTGAAAGTATGACAATCTCTCCTCAGCATAGACTGATTTGATTTCCAATCCTTGCAAGATACTCTCATGAATTGACCTTATTAAATGATGCGACCCCATGGTAGCCAACTGCGGTAAAATAATGACATTTGACAATTCGACATTTGCTAATAAATAAATAACCTATCTTTCTGAGGCCGAAAAGAAATTTCCAGTCGTCCTATATGAAGTTGAGGCTCCAGAATGAAGAATCAGCTATGAAGGAATAAAGGATGGTGGTCTGTCCCAAAAATGAAAATGCAGAAGGAACTCTGCATTTTCATTTTTGATAGGTTCATTATAGATTCATTAGCAAATGTCAAATGTCATTATTTTACCGCAGTTGGCAACCATGAGGTCGCATCACTTAATAAGGTCAATTATATCAATATGTAATTACTCCAGTAGTGTTCTGTGTTTAACAAAGGAATCTCCTTCTTCTTTTTCTTGTTACGAACTTTTGTTTCATTTACAGGAGCCGAATTATTCGCGAAAAGACGCAAACGTTCGGAGAAGTGGGTCGTTGGTGAAACCAACGGAACAAGAGAAACTCCAGCTGTCGCTGAGATACTCCCGACTCCCGTTCCGTTACTGTCGCCACTCCCGCCACTGAGTAACTTCCCGCCACCAAGCTACTTACCAGAAACCGCAGAGCGGCTGCAGCATAAACAGAAGTTAGACGGAATCCAGGTTGGTGAGAAAATTTTCCTATCAGTGACATGAAACGTGAAATTTTCTGACAACTCATTCACATTCACACACTATTGCTAATCTATTCTGTATCGAATCAAATCAAGTACTTTGTATGACACCCACATGAATATCTCAAATTTCCCCACTCAGTTCACTTACTTCGGTAATACAACCACTCAATTCGTTGTGCTGACCTTGAATAGATGGCAGCAGATTCAGTTTTGAAGTTTGATCTATTTCAACATTCTAGTTTTCACTATGTAGCAATCAACATACCTGTGTTTTGTCAATAGTTTTTTTCAATCGGAGCAGTGACCATAAAATGAATTACCGTAGCAATACTATTTTCTGAAAAACATATTTATGGAGGAGCTGATGTTCCTTGATGTTTTCGGGGCTGTAACCTTCCACACTCTTTAAAATGAATGAATATAAATCAACAGAGAATCTGCTTGAGCGTACAAATGGAAAAAATAAAAAGTTCACCCCAAAAAGTAACTGCGTAATATAACCTTCAAGGAGTCTAATTAGTCAATAACTTGTCATATTTAAGAATTATGACTATTCTGAGTATTTTATTCAATAAATCTCGAACGAAAAAGTACTTTTTTTTTAAAACGTCAACTGTCCTTCATTAACACTCAAACGGATTCTCTGTTGATTTATTTTTCAGAATGTGAAAGATTAGAGACTCGAAAAACACCAAGAAACGAGCTATTAACTTTTGGAGTAACTTAATGGCCTTGTTCTTCAGAAGTAAGCGGACCTCGGTGAAAATATGGCCCAACTTCTTTTATTTTCCAGGAAAAATTCAACCGTCCCCGGGTAAAGCTCGTAAAATCCCCCTGGGACGCTGCTTTGGAAACCGGTTCCGTCGATACTGCTTTCGTAGAAGAACCAGTGTGGCCCACCAAGGGCAACTACGTCGCCCCAGTCGTCGACTCTTATGAAGCAGCCCTAAAAAGCGATTCTCTTGATAAGTGGACCCTCCCACAGGGTAAGAGCGACAAGATGTTCGCCCATAACCCAGCCTACAACAGTAGCAGCATCAATAAAATCGTAGACAACTTGCAGAAAGGAGTGAGCAATGTTGACGTCTACAAGCCGAATATGCCCCAAGCCTGGGCTTCGGGAAAACCGTTCGGTAAGTATTTGTTACTAGGAAAGATTGGAACAACATGAAATCTAATACTTTCCTAGTTATTTTTCTGTAAGTTTTTGATTTCATTTCTGCTAATATTTACTCTCAGTATCAATGATTTGCTGACTTATCAGTTCCAAACATACCTTCTGCCCTTAAGAACATTTTTAAATTACTTCCACGTTGACTTTTGCAAATATTCGGTCAGAATTACATGAATTTATTGAAAAAATTCAGGCCCATTCTGTGCATATTTACCAATTTTATATGAAACATTACAGTAACTCCACATATTTCTTGTTCTTTTTCGGCCCCACTCCTGACACCAATTAAATGTATACGCACCCACACTACAGAACTTCTCACTTTATTTCCGATAGTACAATTTCAACTTGTGAAACGCCACATCAATGCTAATTTCCGTTATTGCTGGATTCTATGTAACTAATATTTTGTCCACTGCAGGAAGCTACGCCCATGTCACGCTTAACATGCCGCAACCTTCGTCCAAGGATGATCGCAGGTCACCTTCCCCCTTTCCTCATATTCCAGACGTATCAGCCAACCCCGAACTCATTGAACCAAAAAATCCGCGAGAAATCAGATCCCCCTCTCCCTTTCCAACTATCCCAGACATCTCTGCCAATCCTGAACTACTGACAGAAGAGATTCCGAAAAAAACTGAGAGATCTCCATCCCCTTTCCCGCAAATACCAGATATTTCCATCGACTCAGTATTGTTAGACATGCAATCGGAAATACAACCCATGTCAGAAGACAGTTTGGATGAAACATCAGATTATATAGAGAACCACAAAGAATCAGCTGAAGATATTGACACAGAGACTTTAGGGCAAAATGCAAGTGACCCAACAAAAGATTTACCGTTTCACCGCATACCTGATATATTCAAGTATTTGGGTAAACCCAATTCGGAGCCTTCAAGGTTATCTCCGATTGTATCTATCAAACAACGTGAACCAATTGTCAAACCAGAATTTAGGCTGGCTCTACAAGATCCCCACACTAAAGTGGTAGAAAACGTATTTTCACCAACTACTTCATCTGGAATCAGATCCTTGCAATCAGAAATATTCGAGAGCCAGGGCCATTTTAATGCCAGTAGGTCCTGTTCCCCTGCACCAGTATATATTCCAAGATATGAACCGGAGCTTCCGAAACCAAAAGAGCAGATAAGCCCGAGAGTAGAAAAACCCACAACTATTATAGTCGAAACTACAAGGCCAAGGAACCCTGAATACGAGGAACACATTAAAAAAATTGCCCTGTCCACAGAAAGAGATAAAGGAGAAACAATTATGCTTCAGAAGGGTTGCTTCAATGAATTTCACGAGAAGAAAGTATCCAGGAATGAGGAAAAGCTCATAAGATACCCAGGGGCAGTGGTGATTCAAAATCGGGATGAATCAAATATGCAAGAAGAGTTGAAAGAAGCTGAAACACAAACCCAAGATGAGGGACAGGAAGAATTGCATAGCCTGGAGGCAGAAACCTTAGCAATTACCCCTCCTCCTAATTTCAGGGAGGATGAAGGTGCAACTGTGAATGAAAACCAAAGTTCAATCAGTGTGAAGGAGACAGTAGCTGAAGAAGGAAATTCAATAGCATCCAGCATTGAAATGTCGGGTGGAGTTGAAGCCAACAATATTTCAGAGGAACTCGGTCCTTCAAAGGATTCTGAGACCGAAAATGAAACGTGGGTAACGTCATCTTCAAAAACTAACTTCGGACATGCCAAGGAGGAAGATAAAACTTCACCTCCTAAAACCACAGCAGATTATGAGACGGAGCAGAAGAGAAGATCACCACAGAAAACAACTATTATCAATGAACGCAAGAAACCTTCGACTAGCGAATTTGATCCAGTAATCGAACCAAGATACTCCAAAAAAGCCCCTGAGACCATTATAGGTGCTCGTCCCCTCTTTGGTCAACTGGACATCAACTCCGAGTTCAAAAAAGCCATTACAGACAGGCAGAACTCTATCAGAGCGAAACGGTCCAGGGATGTCAGCCAAAACGTCAGTAAGACCAACGGAGCTGAGCCCAGAGTGAAAGTGGAGAAAATGGAATCCGAAACAATGGAAGACGTCACGGAAAACTCTAAATTAGCTACTCAGTTCCTGAAAACAGAGGTCGCGGAAGTTCAAATGCTTCACCCGAGCGAAAACGAGGAGATTCACAAAATTAACTACCAGCAGGAAAGGGAATACCATGTCGACTACCAAAAAGTAGGGAATGAAATCATTATTTCGGAACCAAACTTGACAAACACGTATCAGGAGTTTCTCCTGGGTCAGGAGAGAAATCAGCAAGTCCAGGAAATGATGATGCAAGAATACACTGACACATTTTCGGAACAGGAGGAGTATCAAAAAATACCAGTTAAGTCCTTGATACAAACCTTCGAGCTGTCTGCGATGCCTTGCTTGAAGTACAAGCAGATAAGGGACCCTTTGCCAGATGTGGTAGAAAAGCTTAGTCCTTCGACAAAGTTTTCCAGAATAACAAAACCGGTCGAAGAGCAGGTTGTGAACGAGACCAAAGAAATGTCCGCCAGTGCGTATAGAGTGTCGAACATTGAAGTCAAGTCTCAGTACTTCCCCCTGGATCAGAGTCGAGTTGAATTTCAGCAATCGGAGAATAGCTCGTTTTGTAAATACGTTTCCCCAACTCCTGGACAATCCCCTTCTGATCCACCTCCTCAGTCTTTTCAGGAAGTAGAAAGTTGCAGCTTCAATAACCAACAAGTAGAAGGCAAGCTTTACTAGTGTTTCGGCTTTTGCTTGACTTGTTTTGTAGTGTATAGCATGCCTGAGGTATGAGTTAACATATGCAGAAAATCTGAAATAAATACTTTTGAAAATAAAAAGTTTCTGACTGCAAAAAGCCATTAAAAATTTGTTTTCGTGAATTTGTGAAAAGCTTGTGTAACTATGAAACGAGAGGTAGGTATAGTTCAAGTAAACGATATAGTGCAACCTACCTTCCATCAGTTCCCCTTTAATAATATAGTTAGGGAGCTAACTAATTTTGTTATTCAATAATAAATCTCCATATAGTCTTTTTCAACAAAAATATTAGCTTCCATGTTCTTATGCAGTCCTCAAGTTTTTTCCACATAATTTCAAAGAACCAAACTTGAGATGTAGATTCTTATATACATTGAAACATACTCTCTGTGTTTCCATATTCAAATACATCGAAATCTTATTCAATGGTATCTCTTCTTGCATTATTCACCATCGCTATTGGAATCACTACACTGGAAAAACTCTGCGTTGTTATCATACTTGTTTATTAGTACTTGTCCAAGGAAGCAACATTTTAAACAGATAACAAAAATTTAAGAAATTATAACTACCAATATCGAATTTCAACACTCAAATTGCGATCAGTTCCTGAACTGAATATTATACGAAGGCTCTCATTCTTTTGTTTGAAGGTGATCGACAATGTTTCATGATGAATTTCACTAGTTCGGACTTCCATTGTCTATTATATAAAATGATTTGAAATCCCTGAAACAAATAAAAAAAAAGAATTGAAAATTAATGGCTGAAAATAACAATTATATTAACCAAAATAAACCTGAAATGAAATAATAGTGGTCTGCAAATCAGGAATAGCAGACCATGTTTGGACCCATCAACACAACATCGAGTGGTCCCAAGCTGAGATCTTGCACAGAGAGGAACATTGGTTTAGGAGAAAATTCAAGGAAGCCGCATACATGTTGTCCAACAACGTATTCAGCCAAGCCAGCGTAGAAATACGCAACATATGGAAACCCATCATCAAGCGAAAAATGGCCAACTCCCGCCAAAACGGTCATCTCCCACGGAACCAGTGAAGCGGAAAATGGAAAGCGGGGATAAGTGAAAGTACTCGAACGACCTATAAATAGTCATCTCTCGGAGGAATCAGTCCAGTCATCACCCGAAGACGATTGTAGATACTAACAATCGAAACGTCGTGAACTAACGTGACTTGGCATCTTTTTATTTTTATTTTCTTTTTTCATTTCTTTATTTTGATTTATTCAATTGTTCTATTTTTACTTGTATTTTATTTCACTATTATTTCATTTCAGGTTTATTTTGCTTAATATAATTGTTATTTTCAGCCATTCATTTTAAATTTTTCTTTTTTATTTGTTTCAGGGATTTCAAATCATTTTATATAATAGACAATGGAAGTCCGAACTAGTGAAATTCGGCTCTCATTCTATTCGTCACCGTAACATGACTTCAAAATTAAATTTTATGACTCTCCAGCCAATTATAAAACTCGATTAGTAAAACTCATCCAATACAAACCGCCAATACTTCAGTCCACGTGGACTAGCCGGCAGCGACTTTATCTCTTTGTACTGGTTTTTTTGGCCTTTGAGGGCGCCGATAGCTTTAAGTGTTCACAATAAAGATTACTTCGACTATACCTAATACTAAGAAAGTTCTATCACATGAACAGATTTCAACTATCTTCTGCGAATTATCAAAATTGATTCCAAATCCAGTTTTTCTATTCCTATTCCTAGGAATGAAAAATAATGATAAAAAACGTTCATATACCTCAGAAATCCCAGTAATTTCTTTCAATTTTATTACTTTTCATTATCATCAACTATGCTTGATTTCATTTCTTCACATTTCACAAGTTTTTTATACCAACATTTTCTTCATTTTACTAAAATTTTTGCGTTTTTATATTTAATGGAAATTCACATTATCATATTCTACTACCCCACAATTTGACATAATGGGGAGGACCTGGAGCATGACCCCTCAAAATGTACCCTACAGTGTTGATTAAATCATTACTCCTCGTGTTCTTAATATCCACTTTTTTGAGCATTTGGATTATTTTTATGTCGATGTTGTGTAAGTTCATAAACTTTATTATATATTTTGAATTCGATTCTTACGAAAAAGTGAGTTTGAGTATTACTCATGTCCAGCGTTTTAGAAACTAGGATTTACTTCAATCAAGCACTCATGTAGAGAACTTTCAGCTTGGGATATTGTTGCGTTTATGTGGAATGAACTACCTGAGAACCGCAGACACCGCTCTTGCAACGCCTTAAGGATTATTCTGTAGTGCTTGTCTTTTGTCCTCAAAAAAATTTGACCCGATAATCCTGAGGCATACATAATCACTGGTTTGAACATTGTTCTATAAAGTAAAACTCAAGACTAAGCTTGCTTTTGCGGTTAATGAGAGGATATAGCTGCGACATCCACGCATTCACTTTAGTCTTCACGGTTTGTATGTGTTGGGCCCAGGTGAGTCTGTGGTCTATAGTAAGACCCAGATACACTACTTGGGAGCTCTAGGCAATGTTTTTTCCTACCATATCAACTCTTAATTACGGAGCAATTGCTTGAGTTTTTCCAGGGTTCACCTGGATTTTCCGGTCCAGGAACCAAGTTTTCAGATCTGCTATTGCAGTCTTCAGGTATGCCACGCCGGATTCTCTAGCCATAGACGAAGACATTAGGGGGGTGTCATTTGCATAGAGAAAGTCCATAACGTGGTCAGTTCTCTAAGATCGTTGACGTAAAAGTTATATAGAGTGGGGAATTGCTCCCTGCGGCACTCCAGCCTCAATCTATCTTACCGAAGGGTGGATGCTGTCTGTGAACGTTCTGTTCTTTACGTAGGACCCAATCCATTTGAATAGGCACAGTGCGAGGTTGAATCGTATCATTTTGTAGAGAAGGCCTTCGTTCCATATCCGATCGAAGGCCTGCGAGATGTCTATCAAAAGGATTTGTACTTGTCTCTTTTGATTCATCTCTTGGATTGCGTTTTCACCCAATTTTAGGGCTTGCAGTTTAGTAGAATGTGCCATCTTGAAACCGAACTGTTCGTCCGGTAGCAGTTGTCTGCCTTCCATCTCATCGTCCAACCTTTGCATGATTACTCTCTCCGTTGCCTTGGCAATGGAGCGTAGCAGACTTATTGGTCTGTAATGACGTATTGCGGGAGTCAACTGTCTTTAACGGACAAGCCTAAGTAGAGGTGATGACATCTCGCTTCATGAACACGCCATCTATGGGATCGATAGAGAACTCAGTCTTGAATATCAAAGATTAACGAGGTCCAAACACAACGCATTTATGATCCAATAACAGTCAGAGTTGTTTCGACTCGCCATAGGTCTCATCAGTGTTGCTAGATCATCCTAAAGTATCTATAGGAGGAAACTGTGCTTTACGTCAGGTTTATTTGTATATTCCAATGAACAGACAACACTTTTACGTTTAATGTTTTGTGAATACATTATAATGTAATGAAGCAAATCCACAATCCAAAACACTGGATATCTCTTAGTTCTTTCCAGAGATAAATTAATTTATCACATAGCATAGCCTATCACTTCCACTCCTTTGAAGCTGCTATTGGGATAGAAAATCATTGGTAATAAAAAAATATCCACCTTCTACAGGTTCCAATACCCTACCGAGATGCAAACCCAAGGCCCCACTGAGTCCAAATTTCAAATCCAACGTGAACCCACCAGTTTTCGTCCCCAAGGAGAGCAACATCCCGCTGAGAAGCAGCTACCCACCAGCAAATATCCAACAGAGCTACGAGTATGAGCCTACGCTACAGATATCAGTCCAGCAGCCAGCACCAACTAGGAAACTGGATCTCAACGCCCTCCAAAACTACAACACAGCTCCCAGAGGGTGGGGGGAAACAAAAAAGTTCTACAAACCGATCACTTTCAACCAACCTAGAGGAGCTTACTCAGATTTTTAAGGGGTTTCATGGTGTTTTTCTACTTGGGTTATTGTTATTGTTGTTTGAATTTGTTTTTTGCTATCAGGCACAGATATGATATGTATTTGCACCGTTATCTAATTATTGAGTGTTATTGTATATTTAATCGTGGATTGAGGTGAACTTGGCAGTCCCATGGATATTGAGATGAAGTTGGGAAACTGTTGTGATAAAATTTATTAGAAATATTGAAGTTGTTTTAACAGGTTTATGAATTCGTGAACAGTTGCACATTCTCATGTTTTATGTTGCTTCAAACAGAATTGGAGCTTCTAATTATATGTATACTCAAGTGTTGTTATTCAATTGTTATGATGAAAAGACTTTGTGAAATTCAAAAAATAAACGTTGAGGAAGCACTTGGTTTTTTTGTTTCCAGTACAAATTTCTCAAGAATCCTACCAATAATTTGACAAAAGGTCTTGTACAGGCTTCATTATCTTGTATACTTATTGACTGGGATCAAGCCCGGATGTTTTTCAGATTCGCTTTTGTTTTATTAAAAATATAGTTTTAAAAAACTAAAAAAACGCTTTTAAAAAACATTGAACCAAAAAGTCAAAAATATTGTTTTTAAATAAGCTTGAAACAATAACGAACGAAAAATATTAGTATTATTGTGAAAAAATCGTGGGAGCTGGATATACAAAAAATATGGCATAAAGCGCCCACGCTTTTTTCACAATAATACTAGTATTTCTCAATCGTTATTGTTTTAAGCTTACTTAAAAAAAATATTTTCAACTTTTTAGTTTGATGTTCTTTAAAAGCGTGTTTTTTAAGTTTTCTACACTATATTCATTTTCAACTTTTCAGTTCGATGTTCTTTAAAAGCGTACTTATAATGCACTGTTTGGAACCTTTGGTGTAGTAATGAATATTACTGGAGTTTTTTCCCCAACACCAAATCGTTATTTTTAACACCTCGACACGTGTTTCGATCACCAAGTGATCATCTTCAAATAGGAAGATTAAAACTAGAAACTAATGCGAAGCTAACCCTATTTATGCTATATAGGTATCTCATACAGGTAAACCATCTAGGCGTACCACCCATACAGATGTTTGTAGATGACATAATAAAGAAGAAGAAGTTTAGGTTAAGAATGAACGAAATCTGGACTTTCAGAAAGAACAAAAACCAAGATAAATACATCTCAGTTCTATACCACCAATATACGAGAAAATTTGGAAAGATTTTCAAGGAACTAGGTATGAAGGTGGTTTTTAAAACAAGTCCAAAAGACAAAGTCGAGAATTTGGAAAAGTCTGGAATTTACGAAATTGAATGTGAGGACTGTGATGCAAAATATTATGGACAGACAAAAATATCTATTAGAGTAAGATATAAGGAACACATAGCACACTTAAAATATGGAAGACCTGAAAAATCAGCAGTCGCCCGTCATATTTTGCAACAAAACCATTCCATTCCTGTGTGGGTGGTACGCCTGTATGGTTCACATGTATGGGATATCTATATAGCATAAATAGGGTTAGCTTCGCATTAGTTTCTAGTTTTATTCTTCCTCTTTGAAGATGATAACTTGGTGATCGAAACACGTATCAAGGTGTTTAAAAATAACGATTTGGTGTTGGGAAAAAACTCCAATAATATTCTTTAAAAGCGTGTTTTTTAGTTTTTTTAAACTATATTTAATTATTTTGATTTTCTTTTGAACAACCTATCAAGAAGGTTAGGTACAGCGCCATCTGCCCGTGAATAGATCAAGTAATAATATCGAGAGTTGCGTACTGCACCATCTGCCCGCGAATAGATCAAGAAATATCAAGGATGTTACGTACAACGCCATCTGCCCGCGAATAGATCAAGCAATAATGCCGTCAATTCTGTTAATACAGATTCCGAGCTTGAATTTGTAAACAAACATACATACAAACAGGTGAAATTAATATAAAGCGTGTGTAATCTACATGATCAAACAGATTAAGCACCTAACTTTGTACACTTGGTGCAAGAATCGAAATCTGTCGCTCATATTTTGTTTGAATCTTTAATTTACCGAAGAAAAAAAGCACGCCAGGTTTGGCTCACTGTTTTCTTCTATTACTGTGGCGTAGTGCATCAGGAGTTCTTGCCACATGGTATTCACCGCATGCGAGAATCAATACGAAGAAAACATCCGGCATTGAGGAAAACCAATTTCTGGCTTTTGTATCACAATAATGCACCTGCTCATTCGTAATTTTTTGGCCAGAAACAACACCGTGATCATACCTCAGCCACCGTATTCACCCGATTTGGCCCCCTGCGACTTTTCCTGTTCCCAAGATTGAAAAGACCCAGAAATGACGGCGCTTTGCGACGAAAGACGGCGTTTAGAGATCACTGAGGAGATAAAAAGTGCATAACACAAGTGCATTATTTCTTAGTGAGACTACTTTGAAGGAGACAAAACAAAATATTTTTGGAAAATAATGAAAATTCATCTTATTTATTGAACAAATCTCGTATATTGCACGTGTAAAATCCTCAGTAACGAATAAATCTACTCACTTTTATTACACCTGTTCTCAATTGAAACAAATGCCATTATTCTTATTACATGACATAAAACAGCTGTGTTGTAGTATATTACTTTATTCAGAGATATTACACTCACCAGGCTAACAGCGTCAACAAATTACAAAGTGTTAAAAGTATCGTACATATAAACAATTTGCATCAAGCCAAATTCTCTCTTCTACACTCTAAAACACCTCAAAAAATGGATGATCAGATGAACTGTAAGTGATAAAGAAAAACACACAGACGATTCCGGAACGATCCAAGTTGGTTTAACAAAAATCAGCAGAACATATGAACTGCAATCAAGCAAGATTATCCAGACAAAAGAACAAGTTCTGAGTAGATGTCTCGGTAAAACAATTGAGAGTTTATTGCTACGTGTTTTTCCTGATGCACTTTAAACCCAAAATGACTCGTTATGATTCCGAAACAACAATACCTAACCTATAAGTGAATATCTAAATAACGGATAAGCCTTGGCAAGTGATTTTACCCTTACAAACGAAATTGATGATTAAAATAACGTTCCTTACCACATTTAATAAATTAAAATCAGCCGCCAGAAAACTTTCCGACGAACATTCAGTGTCCTTTTTTCATTACATAAAAACAAAAGAATTGCAAATAGATCAGACCTACAAAAAATGTGGGTTTTGCTTTGAAGAAACACATAAATGCACTACAAAATTCCCTCGGGACCACAGACCAAACATAGTCAACGTTGCAGAAGCAATCTACGACTAGAATGGATCTCGTAGTAAAATTAACACGTTAAAAAGTATGAAGAAAATGTCTGAAATGATTTGCTGAGACTTCTAGACCTGTTCTACATACGAGCGATCGTTTCCATAAAATGAGAAACATGTAGAAGTGGATTTTTTAAATGAAAACCCTACTGATTCAGTTCAAAACAAAACTGATTCAGTTCAAAACAGAAGTATATAGGGCTGAGTGAAATTTGATTTACCGGGCTTTAGAAATAGCCAGTAGTAGGAGTCCGAGACAAAACTGCAAGTATGAATTTCAAGGAAAACAGGAACATTTAGGGCATGTTTCAGTTGAGTCACACACTATTAGAACTAGCAAATTCTCCAACAACTTAATAAAGAGTACAGAAACAAAAAAGGGATAATTTCAAGCTAAAAGTCAAAATTTAGGATGTACAAATTAAAATTTCGATATTGACATTTCAATCGCAAAATTCACTTATTTAACGACATCGAACTCAAAATTTCAACGTTTTAATTGCAGAATTTTGACTCACAAAGCTGATCTTTCAGGATTTGTGTCCTAAATATTGAGGCATAAAAATGAAAATGTGATCCTTCTGCGGTTCCGTTGAAGACTGTTCAAGTTCGTAGATTTCTGCTTTAAATGTCGTTCTAGCGTGTTTAGAGCCTAATATTGATCAAGTGTGATTACACATCCATTTACGATCATAAAAAAAGAAGAAATTGATATCAACCGCATACCGTTCGGACTGTCAAATGTCCCAGCTACTTGGCAAAGGGTGATGCATTTTGGAGGTTAGAAATCCACTTGCGATTATCAATTCGGCTCACTCTATGCTTTTCGACGACATCGAGTTTGAGCCGACAACTCAATAGTTATATTTATTAGTAGGCATGAAGTGGGTTAGAGTCGGTGAAGAAAAACTCGAAAGAGCGGTAACACCATCAGAGGGACAGGCAACCGGAAATTCTTCAGAAAAACGAAGTCACAGCACTCTCAAAGGAAAGTATATACAGGGTGTTTCGAATAACAATATTTCTAGACATGCATCGAGATTTTTATTTACAAACAACGAAAAAGAATACTTCCGTCACAGGACCACTACAAACATTAGATATATAAAGAAAATAGGAATATAGAAAGCGAAATAGTATTATGTGAAACACACTGTAGAAAAAGTCAACCTAACACATAGTGACGTTACACATATTCTATCGACTATGAGAATAAAAAAAGGAAATAAAATGCCGAGTTCGTGCTTCTTAATCAAGAAAAAAGCCACCTGGTAGGCTGCATTACACAAATGGACACCTGGGAAGTTTCGATTCGTGCGCTGCGAAAAATCCCAGTTTTTCCGCTCCCCCAGTTTTCTACCAGCAACCAGGCCTATCGTTTGCACAACAATCCACCCCAACCCCTTCCCCGGAAAGAAAAAAGTGTAAACAGTTTCAATATACAGTAGACAATGGATAACTTTATAATAAATATACATTATAATGGTGTTCAGGGCACGCTATTGCTGAAGCTCCGCGTACCGAGTCTTTTCTATGAAGACCATTGTTTCAGAGTGCAAACTTGCCCAATATTATTCCTATCAAGCCCAAGATGACCGCCATGGCTAAGTACACCATCGGAACGTTCTGATCCTGAACAGGGGGGGCGTATCTGTTGGTCGGGGCCGCCCGAGCTACGCCCACTTGCTGTTTTAGTTGGAGGATCTCTTCTTTGAGCAGCAGGTTCTCTTGCCTCAGCTGGCTCTCTTCTTCCCTCAGTTGTTGAACCTGAATAGAAATATTGGTTATAGGTCACAAGATATTCATGATTCTATTGGAAACACTTTCCTAACACCAGAACAAAAATTACGGTCTCTCGACGCGCATTTCACTAACAAAGCGTCCTCAGGAGATGACTAGTCATTTAATTTGTTAGCGAAACGCGCGTCGAGACAGCAATTTTTGTTCTGGTGTTGAGAAAGTGTTTTCAATAGATTTATTTCAAGCCAAAGGTTCCAGTTCCATATTACTTATTGTTAAAATCCAGAAAAATTATTGAAAATTGGGTAAACTTTTTGGTAGATAGCTTCCTTCGATTTTGAAAAAAAAAATTGTGTACTCATGTATTTTAACATGTAATTCTGAAAATTGCAAACTTATCAGCTTTCTTTTTGCACAATAAAAATTATACAATCAGAAATATTCATTCACAGTCTACAGTTAAATAATCAACTTTTTTCCCATAAAAAGCTTCAGCAATTGACAGAGCTGCTTTTTTCCGAAATGTCACTATAGTATAACAATTTTCAATTGAAGGTAACTCATATACAAATTGAACTGAGAGCTAACGGCAACAATGTTAAATGTTAGAACTAAATTCTTACCGGGGTCGTTTTTATTGTCTATGCATTGCCATTGTGAATAATTGAAAAGATAATTCTATAAAATTTGCCCTCCGTAACAAGATAGCTTCTGCATATCGATAGGATGTACGAGCGAATAGGTGAACCAGTTTGTTATATACTTTGAAACATCGGTAAACTGATTAACACTTTGCAGGTGTATTATATTTGCGTCCTTAAAATGTCATAACTAGTCATTCGGTTTCTTCATTATCAAGTGTCCTTGGCTGATAGGCGTAGAGTGATAATTTTATTATTTTTATAGTATTAAGATGGATGCCGTAGCAGATCCAAGTAATGTACAAAGAAAGCGGAAGTTTATGTCGTTAGAAGAAAAACAGATTGTCTGTAGAGTGTACGAAAATTTAAAAAATACACTCCGTACAGTGGAAGCTGTAGCCCAGTGTTCATTTTTAACGGGAATACCCGTGTCGACAATTGAACGCATTGTACGTGAAAAAAAGGTGACTGGGATTGTGCAAGTTCTAAAAGTACATTGTCGTGGTAGAAAAAAAATTGAATTGGACGAGTAGCAGAAAACTTTTGTACGCTATACCATTCATTCTTTCATTTTTGAGAATAAAACGCCAACCCTCGAATCCATTAGGACGAAGATAATGGATAATGATCTCATTCCAAAAATGAGCAAAGAGAAGTTAAGGAAAATAAAAAAGAAGATTTAAAATTTATATATGCCAAACGATCCCGTAAATCTGTCTTAATAGAAAGAGAATATATAGTCTCATGGCGACGGAGATGTCTTCGCTCTATTAGAGAAATACGTTCTGCTCACGAAAAGATTTATTATCTGAACGGAACGTGGGTGAATGCTGGTCATACAGTATCTAAGATGTGGCAAGATACTACTGTAACTAGTTATCGTCAAGCATTTGTTGACGGTTTATCAACAGGGTTACGCCGACCAACAGGCAACGACTAATTGTCGCCCATATAGGTAGCGAGAGTGGCTTTTTAGACGATAGTGCACTAATTTTTTTATCAAAAAAAAACGGGGGATCATCACGAAGACATGGACGCCCAACGCTTTGAAGGATGGTTTGAATCCCTTCTTTCACGATTCGAGCCAAATTCGGTAATAGTAATGGATAACGCTTCTTATTACAGCCGATTAGTAGAACAGCTGCAAACTATGGCCAGCAGAAAAGCAGACATGCAGAGTTGGTTAGGACAAAAAGGAATTCTATTTTCCGAGGACATGGTTAAGGCCGAGCTTATGAGTGTCATTAAACAGCATCGTGACAGATATCGCCAGCATGTGGTGGATACAATAGCTCGTACTGAAGGCATCACCATTTTGAGACTTCCTCCTTACCATTGCGAGTTGAACCCTATAGAATTAATGTGGGCTCAAATTAAGGGTTATGTAGCTCGTGAAAACGTGACATATAAAATTTCTGATGTCCAATGTTCATTAGAACTCGCAATGGAACGGATACGGAAAGAAGATTGGGCTAATGTTGTAGCCCATGTTATCAAGGAAGAAGAGAAAATGTGGAGATTGGACGGGATGGTAGACACTGTTTTCGACCAAATAATAATAGATTTAAGTGTGAGTGGAGATTCCTCTCCGTACGAGTCAATGGATTCTGAATCTTCATAAACATAACATTGGTAATTATTTCTTTGCTTTGTAGTTATCTTTCTATATAAAAGGAACATAATGATTATTTTGTAAACATTTTTCTGTTTTTTTGAAGTACTGTATTAGGCATAATAAGAAAATGTAATCTGTTTTACCATTGACACCAAGTAGCGCCACCTACTACATTATTCTGAATAACTAGTTTCAAGGATATGTGTACTTGAATTTAAATGGATTGAATATAGGTTCTCCGATTTATAAATCAATGCATTTTGCTAGAGATCTGTTCATACTGCAGGTATGAACAGATCTCTAGCAAAGCAATGAAAATGTTAGGCTTTGTATGCAGGACTACAAAAGACTTCACCAACATTAATTCTATCAAGTTATTGTATTTTGCTTTCGTTAGATCGATTACAGAATATTACAGCTGTGTTTGGTCACCAACTTATGAAATTCATAAGTACACTATAGAAAAAGTACAAAACAAATTTATAAAATATATTGCCTTTAAGTTGTCTTTACCTCTCAGTGATCACTCTTTTTCAGAAATTTGGTCTGTAACTGATTTACCGAAACTTAGTTTACGCAGAGATCATATAGATATTATATTCCTTCATGAATTGCTTAATTTTAGAATTAATTGCTCAACTCTTCTTGCCCAAGTAAATCTTCATGTTCCCTCTAGAAAAACACGAAATAATCTAACCTTTGCAATAGATTACCATAGGTGTAACTTTGGAATGCATTCTCCTTTATCAAGAATAGTCACAAACGGGAATAATACAAAATTCGATCTCTTTCATATTTCCGAGGATATTCTTAGAAATAAGTTAAGATATACTTATTCTTAAATTGCTAGTATCTGTCATTTACTTTTATTCTCGCTTCATTTCAATTCTCTACTATAACTGTTTAAATTGTTATTATTTATAATTAAATTAGAAAAGATTTGTGCTAACAATCTGATATTTGTATAACTTATATTAAATAGGAGTTACCCGTGAATAAATTAATAAATAAATAAATAAAACTGTTACGCCTATCGCTTCAGAAATGTGGTCAGACTTACTATGGAATTCAAGTATCTTTCATTTATGTTGTTGAAGTAATATACGTAACAGAGTTTTTATAACCCTGAGGATGATTAAATAAAATTCAATGAGAGTAGTAAATCCGGAAAATGAACCAAATGGTTAAACAAAACTGAAATGTAATATCATCATCTCACCTCTTGGGCAGCCTTCTGTAATTCCGAGTCTGCAGAGTTAGTCGGTAAGACTGGGGCTGCCGTTTTGGGGCTGAATTTTGCAGTGTCATCGGAACCAGAAATTTCAGTATGCTCCGGAGGCATCTCAAATACGCACTTCAGCTTCGAGTCCATCAGCTGCTCCGGCGTTATCTCCTTCCACAGCTGTTCAAGGTTGATTTCGCCTTCGGGTGCAAACACCGTCTGCACCATGAATTTGTGTTTGTTCTTCTCGGCCGGGTCGAACAGGAATGGTTGAAGACATACTGGAAGAAACACATCATGAAATATCTGAAGTGATCAGATGAACTCAACTGGCCGGATAGTTCTAGTTGCTGAGGCCATCAGAAAAAGAAAGAGAAGAAGAGCCAATGAAGTGTCACCTTTACTTTCAGGCACTTCAACCAGTGTTGTTCCTGGTGTAACTTTCCATCAAGAACAACACTGACCTCAACTAAACCTTCAAAAAAGGATTCTTTCCTCATCATTCGAGCTCAGCACAGATCTCAAAATTGCATTGTTATCAGTGATATGAAAAATCATAAAGCTTCAAGACAATATATTGTTGATATAAAGATGTGAGAATTAAAATAAATCATAAGATGAAAATTCGTTATTATAGACTATAGAGAATTTCATTTGAATAATCATGAATCAGTAGAAGATACTAACAATTCAGCATGAGAGGTGAATATTTATTTTACAAACTGAAATGAATACGTTTTATTTTACTTGTCATTAATTATTTTTACAGCAAAGTATTTTACAAACCCGGATATCATTCTACAAGTTTACATCAAAAAATAAATTTGTAGGTCAATACTCACTTGCTATCTCAGTATTACTATTGGCGTCTAGAACTCCCGAGTTGGGACGAACGCAATACTTTTTCGGAGCTGTAGTTTTTATCTTGAACAATACCTTCTTATCGGAGGGGTTGGTCAGTTTCATGTAGGAAGTGACAGGAACGTTGAAAGGACCTGAGAACATAAAAGGGAGTGTATAATAATTATACACATTTAAAAAAAAGGAATTTCCAAGAAACAAAGTATTCAAGGTCCCAAAATTTTCATGATACAGAGATAGATTATCTGGCATAAAATGAATCTGACAAAAATTCTTTTTTTACACACTAAAACTGTGAAAACATTTTTTTCATAGTTCAATATTGTCACATTTCAACCAAATTCTTGTTTCATGAAATCGTGACATAAAATGAAATTGAAAAATATTTCAAAGCTACGAAATGGAATTTGAAATTGAACCAAATCAACTTTATTTTCCACCGAAGTCATTACAAATGTATAGAAGACACGCATCATATAAACTTACTGAACTAGTAACAACAGAACCTACAAGCTACAGCATTACAAATGAAATAAATATATGTATATTAAAAGAACTATCATCAGGTCATAAATGGAATAATTGGATATCAAAGTTTATTAAAAGCTACAAAAATACAAACAGAAAATCTCGTCGACAGGACAACGCTCTCGTTCAATAAATAAACATCAATAATGAAATGGTAAGAAGTAGGCAATCAGTAAAATACTTGGGAGTTTATGTATCTATGAACAACTACTTCCTTTCTTAACGAAACAATGTAATTAACAAATGTGAAAATGGATTTTGTCCCGGTAGATCGACGGAAAGTGCGACTACAGCTGTCTTAGAAAATATCTATAGAGGTATTGACAAAGGAAAATTTGTGGCCGCACTCTTCTTCGATTTATCAAAGGCTTTTGATTCTATAAACTTCAATATACTGGCCAAAAAACTTAGTGCAATTGGAATTCGAGGTAAATTTCTATCTTGGATTATGTCTTACACGAAATTTCGAAAGATGTACGTAGAATGGGATAATGCAAACTTGAATACTTATGACTTGGAAGTTGGAGTTCCACATGGCTCAGTCTTGGGACCATTAGTGTTATTACTATACATAAATGATTTACGACAATATATCGGAACTACTTCGATAGTTCTTTTTGCCGATGATACTTCAATTTCCGCAGAAGCTGACAGTCCTTTGGAACTTCAAGAAAATTGTATGTAATATGTCACAATTTCTCAAAGTGGTGTCAAAGAAATAGACTTATGGTCAATGCAGAAAAAACAGTACTGTTACAGTTTTCTCCAAGAAAATCTGAGGAACATCCCAAACACGTTTATTATTATAAATAACACAAATATATACTCTTCAGAATTCACAAAATTTTCAGGAGTTCACATCGACCACTCATTGAATTGGCAATTTCAAGTCGACTACGTGAGTAAAAAGACTTAATAGCAGTTTCTATGCCTTAATGCAACTTAAAAAAATACTGAGTGAAGAACAACTGCTAGATGTTTACTATGCTCTTGTGAATTCTGTTCTATCTTATAATGTTATCTTATAGGGAGACGCAACAAATATTAACAGGGTCTTTGTTGCTCAGAAACGAATAATTCCTATGCTTCACAATCTACGGCATACTGATTCATGTAGACCTTTTCAAGCAAAGGAAGATATTAACAGTACCTTCTCTCTATATTTATAACTGTCTGCTCTTTGTGAAAACGCGAACTCAAATTAAAAACTGACTCCCAATGTCATAATTATGCAACAAGGAACGGGAATTCAATCAAACTACATCGTACAAAATTATTTGAAAAGACGTCATCTCTGGCAGGTTCCAAATTTTTCAATTGTCTACCTTCCGACCTAAAAAGTGTAGCATCAATTTTAGTATTCGAACGGAGAATCGGAGAATATCTCGTAGATGGTTGTTTTTACAAAATTAATTAATATTTTGAATAACCACATTTTGAACAAGAACTCTCATGTGTTAAATTTATGAATTTTGTAATACTGTTGTACTAATGTTTATATAAACTTCATGTTTTTTACCACTGACGACTCCTATATCATTGTGAAGTGATCATTTTAAGGAAGGGGATGAGAGAATCATCCCTTTTTTTGTATCAGATGGAGTAGTAGAAAGCCAAAAACTTTCTTTCCCAAAAAATTAATCACTCCTAAAAATATAACCCCTTCAATATTGTATTGTATTGTTAACATTGACCACAAAATCAACTTGAACAGCCATACAAAAATTTGTTGCATGCATTACTAGAGGAAAACACTTTTGGAGTCTGACATTTAAAAAAAGAGAAATCAAAACTAAAACTGCAACTAAAATATTTAAAATGATCTGTCGTCCACTTCTCTAATATACACATGTAATTTATTCAAGTTGTCGTAATTCTGTATTAAATAATCTCCAAACAGCTGAAACATCTACACTAAGGAGTATTACCAAAAAGGCGTGACCCTCAGAACATACTACACAATCCCTCAAACACACTGCTTTATAGAACTACAAAAGTGAAACCTATAAAGGAGAGACTGCCAGACCTATGAAACCGCTTTGCCAAAAATGAAAGCAACTTGGAGACCCTACAGGCTTTATGTGTTATAAATTATAATTTATAATACCTTTTTTTCAGAAATATAATGCACCTCAAGTCTATTATATAAGCACTTGTAAAAATGACTGCTAATGATTAAAAACTGTACACTGACTGAAGGACTTTGGTCGATGGCCCTTCAGTATTCACCAATGAATGACATTCATTATTATTATTATTTACAAACAGGAAATAAGTATGTATCGGAAAGAACTATCCATCTGTTTGTAAATAAAAAAAAAAACAATCAAAAATAACAAAGCAGTATATTAAAGATGATATAATGATGAATGTATATTTAGATAAAAAATCATCTGAAGAGTAAAATACATTTTCTTCCAAGTATTTATGAAGGGCATTTCTGAAGTAATTTGTGAGTTGTCCCTTAAAACAATAGAACACCTCATACTTTGACACAATCAATCAATTGATCAAATATGCTTTAATATCAGACGAAACAGTTCTAATCGACAAAGTCATCGTATAGGTAAAACAAGTTGAAATGTTGAAAACAATAAAATGGTACTGATACAGACCTAATAATAATAAAATGTACAAGCCAAGTGCTAGCTAGTAAAATATGTAAGTAGGTACAGCCACACGAACATATCAAATTCAATCATAATAAGGAGACAAGCTTATTTAAATGGCAACAAAAAGGTTCACTACTAAAAAATTCCTCCATATTGTAGAAGGAATGAGTGAATATCAGTTCTTCAACATGTTTTTTAAACAAACCTAATGATTCAATTTCCCTTTAGCTTAGTGGTAAGCAATTATACATGTTTAGTCCATTATAAATGGGAAATTCCTTAACAAAATTTTTTTTTCGTAGAGGTAGAGGTAATCTGACTTTTTGTGATGATCGCGTATTATAGAATGAGGACACTGTAATACATTTGCTACGATTCTTGTGTATTAAGCAAGTGGTTTCTAAAATAAACATTGAAGTAACTGTGGGAATTATATTATTTTTGAAAAGGTCCCTGCAAGAATCACACATTTTTACTTTACAGAGAGCCCTCATAGCTCTTTTTTTGTACAACTTGCACCATATGTTACACAGTAAGTTTTATTGCATTGTATTTTCCCTAAACAAGAGTGAAAATCACTTATCAAGTACTCATTTATTCACTTTTATCTTCTCATTACATTTTTCTGTATTCATCTTTCCTACGTGAATAAAAATTATTATTATTATTATGTGAGAGTTGTTTGTTGCACACTCCCCAGAAGGTTATGCCATAGACTAGGTGGGCTTTAATGAGAGCAAAATAAACTGTTTTAGCAGCTGTAAAACCCAATTCATGTGATTGATGTGGCATTCAGATGACAATTTTTTACACAGTTTCGTGACATTATCGTTAAATTTTAATTTATCATCAATGTGAAATCCTAGAAATCTGGTGGAGGAAACATCTTCAATGTTTTTTGGGCCTAAGCTTAGGACAAAAAGCTCACAGCGGCATGTTGATAGATTAGACTTAGTAGCATTAGTAAGCAAGTTATCGTCACACCAGGTTTTAATTTTTTCAATGTCTTCTTATATCTTGTGACGCTATAAATGCTCATCATTATCATGCCAAAATATGGTGGTATCTTCGGCAAACAACGTATACTTCCCAGATATATTAGGTTTTGCGAGATCATTTATATAAAGTAGGAACGGTGTGGGACCAAGCACTGAACTCTGTGGCACACTGCATTGAGTTGCCTCCGTTCAAAAGAGATGATTAGTTTTCACCATTTGTAAGCGATTTTCTAGGTATGATTGGAACCACTGCTGGCTGATTCCTCTAAAACCATAGTATTCGAGTTTGCACAGCAGAATTTCGTGACTTACACAGTCAAATCCCTTAGATAAGTCACAGAACACTGCTGCGGCAGTGATCTGTTCAACGCCGAAATTTTGTATCAACCTGGTTGTGTACAGACTTGTTTAAAAATATTATCAACACTTATATAATAAACATATACACTTATATAATAAACATATACACTTATATAATAAACATATACACTTATATAATAAACATATACACTTATATATAATATTAAACAAATAAACACACTCATTGCACCAGACAATCAAACATTTATATCCAAACAAGAATCTTATATAACCTAAATTCAAATATGCACATTTTGTCACGTAAACTTATCATTATACGAGTAGAACTCTTGCAAATTATAATAGGGTCTATCAGCCAAAAATGTTTTTACTCTTATTCTGAATATTTTGTTGGTCAAATTTACCTGTCTTATATCTGAGGGCAAGTGATTAAATAACTTGACCCATTGTAATAAATAGAATTCTTAACCAAATTTGTTAAAGGAATTGGCAATTTTAACGCGGAGGAACGGGTGCTATAAGAATGGTACGAAGCCTCAAATAGGAAGATATTTTTGTAAATGAGGAAAAGGTCTAAGAGAACAGACTCCGATTCCATTAAATAAACAGAATCTCCCAAGAAACAACTACTAAATAAAATGAGACAGAGCGGAAAACAATATTTTTAGTTTTGATATGAATGTTCATCAATTATCCTCAGTTCATTCAAAAATTATCCAAAGTAACTCATCTAGAACACCAAATTTATGTAGTGTAGATTTTTATTCGGTATGATTGGGAAAACCCTAAATTACAATGTTCTAAAAATATACATGTATAAAAAATTGGTATGAATATTGAAATATATAAACTGAAAAACAACTTGAAAACTGAATGGTGAATAAAACAATCAAAACCAATACCAGCACTGAAAACTAACAAATATACAAGGCATAAATCTATAGACTAAATACATAATTGACTGGAGACTTCCTACGAGTGAGTAAAAAAATCAAGTTCTGATACATTAGCTTCCCTTAACATTCTAAACATTGGACTATTAAATCCATAATTGGAATCAATTGGAATGCTCTATCATCCCTTGTTACTCTTTGCTTGACTCTCAGGCCAACCAAAGAAAGAAGTTCTCAGCAATTAATTTGGCCTGACAATAATTTGAATACAAATATTAGGTCAGTTCGAATCCGCCTATTCTTCAATGTGGTTAGATGTAGTGTAGAAATAATATCAACGCAGTTATGTCGCTGCTCCACTTCAACGCCCATTTTGTCAGCAGAACTATGCAAAAATTTATTTTGAATCTTTTCCGGTGACGTTTTGTACACTAAATGAGAGGAACACCAAGCAATAAATGAGATCTAATTAATGAACAATACAGAATATTCATTGTGCTTGCCGATTAGTGTTTAGCGGTCCTACCTACATATCTAAGAAGTTCAAGTAATTTCAAGGTTATTATATTAATATGGGATGAGAATGACAACCATTTATCAAATTTTACACCATGAAATGGTGTTTCGATGGAAATCAAATGGAAAATGGAATCAAATAGGGAAATTTGTTTTGTGGTGCTTTAATGGCAATGCTTTCAGTTTTTAAGTGGACTTGATTCATTGGAAAATGTTCACTAGCACTATCAATTCCATTTAAAAATAAAAGCAAAAAAGTATGATTGAGTTTGTTGACATGCAGTTTGCAATTGACTTGGTCGAAAGCTTTAAAAATAGATGTGCAGTGTAAATAATAAATGTTAGATAAAACGACTGATACCTGATGAAAATACATATGAACAATAAATTATTCAATTTGCTGCGAGACTTTCAAAAAATGGGTTTTACGAAAATTGCAACAACTGTTTTGCTATACAATAGCTTCAAGTTAAAACGATGACTCTTTTGGGAACCATTATTGTGAAAATCTTACAGTAAATGGTATCATTTAGCGTAAGTATCAAGTGCCATGATAGTCAGTAGTAAAGAAATTGAATAATTGAAGGACGAAACATATGAAACATATATAATTGGAATTCTCTACAAAGTTAATCAAATGAAAGATTGTTGTATAAGAAAATGAATATATTGAAATAGAATTTCGAAACCTTTAATCTCCCCAAATGTACAACAATGCAGGTTCTGGTAAGTCTGCCGGAAAACAACTACTTCCCCAGCTAATACCACACTGGACATTGAATTATATCCAACAGACATTTCAAAATTATTTTCTTTTATGTATATAACTCTCCTCGATACAGTCTTCAGATTGTTTTGCTTTCTGAGAGAGTATTGGTATAAAATTGCATCTATATGAATTGTTCTCTAGAACTCCACAATCCTTTAATAGGGGAAGAAATGATTGTGAAATTAATTCCCAGTGCTATTTGTGAAACTTGGAATAATAAAATTTCTGTTAATTTTCTTCATGTTAATCAATTAACAATGAATACCAGTAGATTCAATATTACCAATGAAACTGGTACAAAAATTGTTCCTCAAGCCCAGTGAAGCATGAGACCCTACCAGGTGGTATCAGCATGAAATTCAATTAATTTCTATGTTCAAACAGTCCTTCCAGAGATCACTGGAAAAGAAAATAACAGTATCCTGAAACTTGGAAAACCAAAGAGTAAGCTAATATCTCACTGATAATTACACCATCCAATCAACTCTACCAGCAATCAAAACAAGGAAAACTTGTTAACCTGTACCCAGTGGAATTTGATCTTTGACAGGTAGGAAGGTAAAATATATTCAAGGTAGTTCAACAAAGCTATACATTTTATTACTTGCAAAATTGCTAATATTATCACTATTCATTGGCTCTGTTACATACAAGCAGCATGAGTCATGAAATAAAATTTATTAGTTTTTGTGACCTACCATTTCATGGAGGTAAATCACCTTGGACATGAGAGTAAAGAAAAATTAACATACCCTTCGTACCCTCGAAAAAATATTTCAATAAAAATACCCATTAGCCCGATTACTCTTCTAACACTCTTCTGCTTGAAATTGAAGATGTTCTATTTATTATTGGTAAGTACAAATACGTCGATACTACTAACTGACCCTCACCTTTGAATCTGAGTTCATTTTGGGGCTCTATTTGCAGTATTTGCTCCTGTTTGGACATTGTTCAACTTAACACTGGAAAACTAACTAAAACACGAATCGGTATAAATTTTTTATATGATTTTGTACTTGCAATCTAGTGACAAATCCCACTTATAGTGCACTTTTCTTTTCATAGGACAACCATAGCGCATGTGTCGTGTCAAAAGTCAAAATGATGGCGTCGACGTTGACAGACAGTGCGTTCGGTATTTACAAATCGGCACTAGCATCTGTAGACAGCAAGCGAATCGTATGTATATAGTAACAATTATTAATTTTGACATATATACATTACCTTTATTATATTACCATATTATCATATTATATTACGCTACTGTTGATAATTTTCTCAAACATGAAAAGAATGCCTGATCACTTCAGTGTAAGTGAAACCAAGTTTGATTTACACCAAAAATGTGAAACTTTAACATCTGGCGTAAAATAGTCCTTGCTTTGAGTTGATCTACACGTCATGAAACTGTTTGTAAATGGTGCAACGACCTTCATTCATTAAAAGTGGCGTGGCATGTGAAAAAAAAATGGTAAAACTGAAATCTCTGGCGTGGAATACGAGTCAATCCAAAACAGTTACAGAACTGTGAGACTCTTTTCGACGCGTGTTTCACCAACCAAGTTGGCGTCTTCTTATTGAATGGTGCTTGAAGCATGATTTTATTTTTGTCTCTTTAGCTCGACTAAATAATTTGAATACAGAATACAACTCAGGAATTTTCGGGGCTTGTTTCAATTTATCCATTTGGAAATTCTCACAGTCACAGAAATTGCATTAATATTTGTTATTGGAATTTAATCAATTTCGCTTTAGGTTTAACCTCTGCCATTTATCTGTGATCATCCAATCTTATACATAGTTTCATATCCTGATGGTTACGTAGTGTTCCAACTACCGAAAGAGAAACGGCAAAAAAAGTTTTAACGACTCAGTTAACCAATACAACTTTAAAAAAAGCTCTTTCAATAAAGGCCTTTTTTTTATTGAATCATGTTCGTGGGCGATTGAATCATTTTCACTCTCATGAATTGAATAATTTGGAAGTTTCCGTGTATCAATTTTTTGTCTTATCATCATTGAATTTTTGACTGTCACCAGTCGTTATTGTGTGTTTTTCTTCAGTCACTTGATATTTTAGAGTTAGAAATAGTAGGTATTCCATTTATTGAAAAATTGCCAAAAAATTCCTTCGATTTTTCGTTTAAAATGTGATTTTGCATTCAATGTTTAAACTGTCCCATCATTGTTGAAGTCTTCGGAACTGACACACACATTTGATTAATGATTTATTGATTTTAAGTAAGTACACCTACTTTTTCATTACTGGTGCTTTAGGATCTTATGAAGAGCTGAGCATGAACAAATTTTATGATAACATAGTTATGACAGTGGATCACTGAACAATATTATTAACATTATGAAGAGCTACACATTACAATAGATAAAAGTAATAAGGGAAATTTGAATATAAGTAGTGTTCCATATAACATTAGTTACACTTTTCACGACTCATGCAGCTCGTTTCGTGGTATTTCTGAATAGGAATTTGAAAAATGTATAGGCTATTTTAGCTACTGACCGAGAGATGGCGGTAAAATTTAATAAACAGATTATTTTCGTACATGACATTCATTTAAATTTCTGTATTCCAAAAAAATGTGTTTTAAATAATTCGTGAATTACAGATTTACGTTTTTAGTTGTTTCCGCAGATTCATAACTTTCATTCAAAGAATAAATTGTGATGGGTATTTGTGTGGGACATTTGAAAAATCTGTTTTTCGTTAACCAGCTGACGCCTCTTCACGGACGACAACCCGCATAAGTCGGAATCTTGCGGCTGATCTATCTCATCTTCAGAAGAAAAATTTTCGCCTTTATTTTATTCAACTGGACGATTCATGTCACGTGCCGTTATACCTTTGTCTGATGCAACATCAATACTGTATTTCATTATTTGTAGCATTAACTCCAGCCTCATCAAGAAGTCACTTCAGCAACTTTGGAAACTCTGATTTGGGCAGCCCCCTTTATTTTTTGTTTCCACTCCGTCAAAATTTGTTGAACGAAGCTCAAAAGACAACATCTAAAGGTTGGAGTAAATGTGTTGCATTGAGTGGTAAAAAGATGAACTCAATATTATTCTGCTCGCCAAATCCATTCATCTAGTTTTATATCTCCAACATATTCTGAGGGTGCTTCATCTATATTGAACGCGTTCAAAGTAACCCCGAAAACGATATGAAAAAATGTGTGTTGAAATATCTCAAATTCCTTCAATATAGCTTTGCTATGATAATGTATTGTCGTAGCAAATATATTTAGTGAACATGTAGTGTAAATACTTAAGACTGCAGCAACAAAAGCTTGCAGACCTCATCGTACGTCAGTTTTATAGATAAGAAATGACATGACAGGATTGCCAACTTCACAAGAAGTATTTAAATACGAGGGTTGCTATCAGTGCTGCCGTTAAGGTACTATTGTACCGCATTCGGTACTATTCCATGATTTTGATACGAAGATACTACCCGGATCAATATGTAGACTAGTCGGTACTATTTACTATAATACAAATTTTTTACATTTTCAAGTTGACTCCCATCGAGTACAGTAAAAAATAACAACAATATGTGTGGCAACAAGGCAATTCCGTGTTTCAAGTTCCAGATCAGCAAATACCGTACTTGTGTCCAAATTGCGAGCTATCATCATAACTCTGCATTATTTAATCCTGTGTTCTGTATTGTGCCTGTGAACTTTGGTTCTGTCATCTGTCAGTCACTCAGCAGAACAGCAGTTTCAACTTCTAACCTCACACCTCACCTTGAGAAATTGGTTTTATTGTTTTGTCAAAATAAAAAAGAATATGGACAGGTAAAAATAAATTCTCGAATGTAGCTACTTGGAAACGTGTTTAGTATTGTTCATTCTATTGTGACAGAAACCTAATTAAAACAAAACACATTTGCAATCGTGAAAGAGCAATTTGAAGAAGGAAAAAGACACCTTTTTATCAAATGTTCTGATTATGATCTTTCTCTTAAGGAATATTTCTTAGTTTCCAGCAAATTTTTTACTCTATATATTTTCCGAATTTAAATGGATAACATTATTACACGTTTGGCATTACTGGCATTTGGTCTGAAATGACTTATGCGCATGTGCCATGCAGAGTCTTGCGCAGTACATTTTGGGTACTATTTTCTTGTAAATTTCGGTACTTTTTGAATTGACGTTGCGGCAGCACTGGTTGCTATACCATTCCTAAATGTGTGACGAATTGAGTGGTGAAAACTAGATTCCGCTAACTACTATGAGTCAATATAACAAAATTTATATTTTCAAAGTAGCCACGTGCTTCAAAGTAGGTAACCCCGTTTTACGGTACTTGTAAATTTCTTGTAAATTTCGGTACTTTTTGAATTGACGTTGCGGCAGCACTGGTTGCTATACCATTCCTAAATGTGTGACGAATTGAGTGGTGAAAACTAGATTCCGCTAAACCTAATGGTTATTTCACTATGAATCAATATAAAAAAAAATATATTTTGTTCAAAGTAGCCACGTGCTTCAAAGTAGGTAACCCCGTTTTACGGTACTTGATTTACTTGAGTTCCTTTCTTACAAACCACTTTTGCTCTACATGGATCGTCACTAAGATTGATCTCATAATTCACAATGTTTGATGGAGGGACATTTTCGATGCTTCGTGATAGGTTGTCAAAATAGTCATTGATGAGGACTGCGCTCAGTTCGGCCCGGCAACGCTTTATATTTTGACAGACGTTCAGTCAAATAACGATGTCTCTTAAAAAAATTGTAAAACCAATCGAGACCAGGTACATTATCCTTGAAAGTTTTCAGTCTTCTCCCCTTACTTTCCAGGAATTGTTCGACTAAAACTTGGATATCTGCTCTGGTGAGAGGAAACCCCCATTCTGCCGCCTTCTGTATTCCTCGTAAAAGGCTCAGTTCTTCCTCAGTCAGAGCTGATTGTCTTCCGGGAGCTGCTGGGTGGATTCCCTTGATTTTATTGCACAGTATAGGTATATTATACACTTCTGCAGCCATTCTATATGTCATTGTTTCGTCTTTTAGGGCAGACGTTGCCCTTTCCAAAGAAACCGAAGAATAGTTTCCATACTGCACGCTGCCAAAGCGTTTTTTGTATTTTCGTACCATGTTCGAATGTACCCCACTGTTAGTGAAACATTATGTTTAATAATTTCTGAAAAATTCACTTTCGAGATATGATCATTCATATGTTCTCGACAACATATGAATGATCAAATATATAAATTTTAAAGTTGGTACAAGATCACAAATCAAAATTACAACAGTTTGTTTGCGGCGTATATTAAGAAATGTATAAATGAGGCGTCGGAATTCACATATCAACCATTAAATAAACATTTGAATTTCACGAAAGTATCCATTCGACTGTTTCCTCTTGGTCTACAAAAAAACTGGTGGGTAATACACGAATATTTCACTCCAGAGGGGGAAAATTGTAAACAACAGCCAAGTGTTCGAATTCACTGGACACGTTCGAACTCATCCGAAACTACAGTACCATAAAAAATCAAATTGAACAAATGAAAATAATTGTTGCTAGGTCACTTCTTTATATTGAAGTTTCCAACAACTCATTCGTCGCTGAAAATTGAGAAGCATTTCAATTATCTTGCAGTGCCTCTCTGTGGCCAAGATAAAAGTTCTAATTTGGCAACTTTCATGAAGTAAATCGATATCAACGTGCGCTAAGGAAGGAAAGTGTAGCGTTCAAGCTGGGTTGTCAGATTGTTCTCAAAAATTTACATCACGCTAGTCGAAAATGTAAAAAAACTTGAGAAAAATCAAATCATAGAATTTTGTCAAGAAGTTCAGGTAGCGTCAGAACCAAGACTAAGGATTTTTTTAACAGAACTGACTTTTTCGCGCCACTCCTTGGCAAAGGATAGGTATTTTTGAAACAAACTCAAGAGAATTTGAAGATTGAATCTGCTTTGCTGAAATGATGTTTGTAAATGGAGAAGTAGAAAGCCAAAATCTTTCTTTACCAAAAAAGGATCTCTGCTAAAAATATTCCCTTTTCGATTTATCATTCTCTTTTTCATGATTATCTGAAGTATGCAGACTTCTGGTGTCACATAAAGGTTCTAAAAACAATGATTCAATATCCTTTTAACGTTTCTTAGGTAATGTTGAACAGAAAAAGACTACAGATTTGAATGT